TCTCGCCTGAATGTTACATGTAGCTGTAGCCTCGCCTGTTGTTTACTTGTAGCTGTAGCCTCGCCTGATGTTACATGTAGCTGTAGTCCTCGTCTGATGTTACACGTAGCTGTAGCCTCGCCTGATGTTACATGAAGCTGTAGTCTCGCCTGATGCTACATGTAGATGTAGCCTCGCCTGATGTTACATGTAGCTGTAGTCTCGCCTTATGTTACATGGAGCTGTAGCCTCGCCTGTTGTTACATATAGCTGTAGCCTCGCCTGATGTTACATGTAGCTGTAGTCTCGTCTGATGTTACATGTAGCTGTAGTCTCGCCTGATGTCACATATAGCTGTAGCCTTGCCTGATGTTACATGTAGTTGTAGTCTCGCCTGATGTTACATGTAGCTGTAGTCTCGCGTGATGTTACATGTATCTTTAGTCTCGCCTGATGTTACATGTAGCTCGATGTTCCATGCATTTATACATGTATATCATGATCTCATCATGTGTTAGGCATTAGGGTAGTACGGTCAGCCTCAATTGGGTGAAAAGGATATTACCCCCCCCCCCCCCTTTAAAGCTGCAATATCATTTGCTGGCGCGTTTTGTTTTTAGGTCGGTGTGCAACAAGATAAAAAGATATTGCACATGACAATTTCTTGTTGTTATTTAGCAAATGTGTTCTATATTGCTGTCAATATGAATTAAAAATGGAAACAATAAGAAAAATAAACAGAAACAAATATTTAAATTGAAAATATCAACATGTACAGATGCTTTATCAATCGTATCAAACTTTTCTTAACATAATTTTGGTGTAAATCATGTTCTTATTTAGGTATTTCTTCCAACCGTGATCCTGATGCTAGGGCTTGTCCATTCATTTATGTACGGGAATACGTACACTTGTAACCTCCCATCATCAGTGGCTGAACTGCACCATCAGAAACATACATACACGATTATTTTTCTGCTGACATTAAAGGCCTTGAGTTTTTTAATGTACAAAACTTGACACAATATAGGGAGGAGAAAAAGGAAATCTATGAGAAAGTTGAAAAAGTTCCTGTCCTTGTTTGATTGAATCTGTTCATGGACGGTACAGGTGATTGCAAAATACCATCAATGCCCCTACCCCTCAGCACCAACTCTAGTAGAAATCAATATTTTTATATGAAATTTTGAATTAAGAAAGACAAATAGCGACCTAAACAAAAATCAGCCAATATTAATAATTCTTTATTTTAATATTGTTGTTGTTGTTATTTTTCTTAAATTTTAAAGATCTCACATTGCTAGTATATTTGGGGAGTGCATAACATCTGTGTCATTTATTGATATATGAATTTAATGACGCAGCATACCACCATAAATAACAATCATGTCCGCCTATCTCAAGTGTTCTTCAAATAACCACAGACTGCACAGAGTGTCATCTGACCGCCCTCAGTTGCTGTATTATTTAAGTTTGTTTATCTTTACTAGAACAATTGCATTCGAGCACTTTTAAAGAACATGTTTCAAGATCCTCATGATTTTAACAGTCGTGACATTACTGTTCAAAGTATGAACTTCACCTGTTTCATTCTATAGTTATATCCAGGAATTTGTTCAAGGACTTATGCGAGCACCAAATAAGGACAATAATATAGTACATTGTCTACTCAGGCTATACAGCATTTTATTATTTCATCACATTTGCCAGCTTCCTTCATGAAAAACTGAGGTTCTCAGTTTGCACGGACTGACCAAAAGGACTACTTATAGTTCACTGGTCTACAGTGGGCAAACTATCCATTTATATTTTGATAAATAGAAATCTATCATTAAGCTATTCTTAAGAACTATTGCTTTAAAAAAATGTTGATTAAATTCTAAGTGATTTACTATAATGGAGATTTATATACTGAAGAATAATATTTTTTCTAGACAATTGTTTACATGTATCTGCTGTACAATTTTACGTTATATTGAATCATTTCTCCAGTTATATAATTATATTTGTATCTCACACTCTCCAACAATATCCATTCATAATTCTTTCGTAGTTTTGTTAATTAATGTCTGATTCAAATATGTAATACCATCGCATTTTTTCATTGTATTACACACCTTCTATTATAAACCTTATCACTTGACGTGTCTTTTAATTTTAGTGAACACAGGAAATTCTATAACCCGCAAGTACAAAAAGCTTTCCATACCCTTTAATTATGTCGTGATGAAGGAAACCCTTACATTATTTTTGATGGCTTTTACGTCATCAACACTAAAGGCAATATGGCGACTATTAGTGTAGGAATTCAAGATTTTTTGGTTCAAGATTTATTGGTTCAGATTACGTCCCATCAATACTGTAAAGTTCGTTTGATGACTTTCCAGCTGTTCTGCCTCTTAAAAGTGAATAAACAAAACACAATTACTATCAGACAGTTTAACCAGCTTTATTCAATATCTTTACATGTGTGTGTGCGTAGTAAAGGCTGAAAATATATAAAAAGAAAATACTAAGTACTATTATAGGTAAATTTCTATCAAAGTCATATATTCATCTCAAATGAAGCAAAGTTCTACTGGAAATTTAGTTCATAAACCTTCACTTGCAATACAGAAATTAAAGTACTTTACTTAAGGATAAACTTTCTACATCTATACTAAAAAAGGTTCCATATGAAATTGTATATAAATTGTTACGAAAATTTAAAGTACGAATCTACAAACTTATTTCACCGAATAGAAGCAAAGTACAAAACAATATATCAATGTTTATACGTAAATCATATAAAGTTACAGTCTGTGAGTGAAAAAACCAAAAATACATACATTGTTGTGGCTTTATAGACATCTACAGCCAAATCTTTTACAAAGTTTACAAATGGCGGTGCCACACCGCTTAAACACGAGAAAGTAACTAAAAACAAACACGACTCTCACTGTAGCGTTATCGACTCATAGTATCGTCCTAAAAACATCGTCCAAAACCGGACGATACAACACACTCCCCGCCTGTTATTATAAAATAATAACACTAATAACCCTATACCACAACATTACATTGATAACACTGTACCTGTTATTATAAAAAAATAACACTAAGTTTACAAAAGTCTAATACTGAAAATGAAGGTTGAAAAAATATGTCCTGAAAAAACTTCAGACATATATAAGTCTAGTAATTAGTATTGACTAGAAATCTTAATGATAATAAAAACTAAAATAACAAAACAAGATAGATGTTTCCAAAACCTATCACTTGAAATGTAAAATTGAGATTCTATCAGTTCAAAGTTTAGAATAGGCAATTCACTAAAAATTTAAATATTCTCTTCCGTAATATTCAATAACTAGTTTAAGATCTTTACAGAGTTTAAACAGGAAACGGGAGGTCGAGAGTATGATTCCCTCTGAGGCTTCCAAAAATTACTTAACAACATTTTGAAGAAAAATATACAAAGAAAGTTAAGTGTAATGTATTACATTAAACAGTACAAGAAACAATATCCTTACATTACACGCACCTTTACAAATAACTTTATATTACTTTCTGACAAGTAACACCAAATTAACAATTGGTCTAGTATAACAAACTTTCTTTCCTTTTTCACAATACAAATTTCAACTTTGCGGATTCTACCGTCTTTACTTGGAAAAGAACGCACAACTCTTCCAATAGGCTAATAGTTGCGTGCTACTTCAGCATCCTTAAGTAATACAATGTCATCAACTTTTAATGGTTCTTGCTCTTGAACCCATTTATGCCTAACTTGAAGAGTTTGGAGATATTCTCGTCTCCAGCGTAACCAAAATTGATCGGCTAAATATTGGATTTGTTTCCACTGATTCCTATATAGATCTTTAGTCTCTATATATATATTGCCCAAGGGTGGTTGGTCAGATTCTAACTTCTGTGTTAACAAAGCAGAAAGACTTAATATATCTGGAACTTCGGGATCGTAAGACACTGGAACAATTGGACGTGCATTTACGATAGCTGATACCTCTACCATTAAAGTTACAATGACGTCATGAGTTAAAGTTTTGACATTTAATAGCATAGCGTCTAGTATTCTGCGAGCAACACCTATGCGGCGCTCCCAAGTGCCTCCCATATGACAGCTATGAGGGCTATTAAATACCCAAACTGAACAAGATTTCTGTAAGAAACTCTTAACATGTTCATTTTCAACATTAATTGCACTGGCTTGAATGTTATCAATTGCCCAAATGAAATTTGTACCACGATCAGATCTATAAACCTTAACTTTCCCACGTATGGAAACAAATCGCCTAAGAGCGTTAGTAAAAGCACAGGAAGATAAATCTTCGATAACCTTTATGTGTACTGCCCGAATAATCAAGCAAGTGAATAAAACAGCCCAACGATTTGAGAGAGCTTGTCCACCTCTTGTACGTCTTGAAACAATCTGCCACGGTCCAAACACATCAACCCCGACATAACTGAAAGGAGATTATTGAACTAGATGTTCAATCGGTAGGTCTGACATCTTTTGGCATGAAAATTTCCCCCTAATTTTTTCACAGATCACACATTTGTGAATAACAGAAGAAACTAATCTCTTAGCTCCAATTATCCTGAAACCTGCAGACCTAAGAGCTCCTTCAGTAATCTGTCGGCCCTGATTCACAACCGACTCATGGTACTGTTTACCAATACTTCAGCTACAGGATGCTTTTTGGGCAAGATAATAGGACTCTTTTCTACCTGAGACAACTGACTTCTGCACACACGTCCACCAACATGTAACAAACCATCACTGCTTAATACCGGGTCAAGGGATGAAATGTTACTGTCTTTGTTAAAACTTTCTCCTCCAGAAATAAGCTTAATTTCCTTTGAAAATACCTCAAGTTGGACTTGAAGCAATACCCATGACACAGAATCTTCCTTATTGGCTAAAGTCTTCGAGAGTGGGCAGATATGCCATCCTTTACATTGTAAACTTCTGTGAAAGGAAATGGCAATATGTCTTAATATAGAAACTGCACGTATTAAACTTAGCCAGGAGGAAAACTTTCAAACAAACCCATGCTGAAATTCAAGTCTTTTACGTTTGACGCCATACCAGAAATCTCTTTGCGAATTTCTTCATCTTGAGTGGGGTTTACAAGTGGAAAACTTTCAGGCCTAGAAACATTTGCATCAATTTGCAAAAACTTTGGACCTGATAACAATGAACTCTTCAGTAACTTAACAAGACTGGCACCTCGGCTACCAATATCAATAGGATTGTGTTCAAAGGGAACAAAATTCCACTGTGAAGGATTAGATACACTAACAATCTTATGGACACGATTACTAACATACGTGAAAAACCTTTTGGGCTGATTACAAATGTAGCCTAAAGTAACTTTACTATCTGTGTAGAATTTAACTGTGTATACATCAACACATAAATGACTTGCTACAGACTGATACAGTTCAACAGCTAAAACTGCAGCACATAATTCAAGCATGGGTATAGTGTGACCCTTTTCTGGAGCAAGTTTGCTTTTCCCAACAGCAAATCCTACATGATTATCTCCCTTTAAAAATCCCTTAACATACACAACAGCTGAGATGGCAGTTAATGACGCATCTGAAAAGATATGTAAATCAACCTTCGACATTTCACTCAGTGACCTTTCAAAATAACACCTACGAATACTGAACATCTCTAAATCTTCTAACCTTTCCTTCCAATTCTCCCATTTCAGTGCAATCTCTGTAGGCACAATGTCATCCCAATCAACTTTAGTACGCATTATCTCTCTAAGGATTAATCTACCCTCTAAGATAACAGGGGCCAAAAATCCAAGTGGGTCAAATACACTATTTAAATATAAAATACCCCTTTTAGTGAAAGGACGAGCTGACATATCTGTTTTAAAAACAAAGTCATCAGAACTTAAATTCCAGACAATTCCAAGACTACGTTGGCTTGGCAGAACGCCACAGTCAAGATCTAAATCTGTTAAACCTTTCGCCAAATCTCCTTGGTCAAAGCATTTCATAACCTCAGGGTCATTTGATGCTAATTTGTGTAATCGTAACATACTAGCACTTAATGTACTTGAGTTCGTTTAACCAAATCATCAGCAATAGCAGCTGTTGTATGCGAGGACAAGCCGTCATCTACATAAAATTCTCTTTTCACAAAGTCTTGCACATCTTGATCAGACCTTTCTACAGATTTATGAAGACCGTATGTAGCTATTGCAGGGGAAGGGCTGTTCCCAAAGACATGTTTACACATGCGATATTCTACCAAAGGAAGGGAAGGGTCATTTCCTTTAAACCATAAAAAGCGAAGCAAGTTTCTATGCTTCTCGAGAACACTAAATGAGTAGAACATCTGTTCAATATCGCAGATTACTGCAACTTTCTTTTTCTTGAAATTGTAGTCAATAGCTAGTAATGTCCTGAATGTAGGATAAAGACTGGAGTACGCACACTTGTAACCTCCAATCATCAGTGGCTGAACTGCCGAAATGAGTACAGGTGTGATAGGGGAGTTAAAAATGATTGTTTACTATCTCAAAAGATAATGGCCTATTTGTGTTATGTATGTAAATACAAACCACTATGATAACTGTTCAAATAGTTTGTACAATCTTTAGAATAAATGGACTCTTTAATTTGGCAAAACACAATGAAAACCTTGAGAATAATATATCATTTTCAAATGAATGACAACTAACAACACTATTAAGAGATATTTTTTATTCACAACAAACTCATTCAAAGCAAGTATAAGTGCAATACAGATATACTAAAAGTCAAATAAACACTAAATATAAATTATATAAAAAGTAAAGTTGTGCGTACTAGTACCTTTTAGGGTCTGTTTGCTTGCCATGTACTAGGAAAAAAAAATAAATATCTACCAAATAATATGGTTTGAGGACCGCCTCCGTGGTCGAGGGGTTAGAGTCGATGACTTCTAATCCGGTTACCTCTCTGGCGTGGGTTCGATCCGATCCCCGGGAGATGCTTTTGTAGTTTAGCGCGGAGGAAGGTAGTCTAGTACTGGTGTAACTCTCCAGGAACGATGGTAAGGAAACTACCCGCCTATATGACTGAAATACTGTTGGAAAAAGGCGTAAAATGAAACAAACAAACAAACAAAATATGGTTTGAATTTGTAATTTTAAGAAATATTTTTTTTTTCTGTAATACACATATATGCGGATATATATGTAAACGATTCATATTTTGACAAAACTAATGTGACAAGACAGACCTACTTAATTTATGGAAAGAAAACGTTAAGATTGGTTCAAACATTTCTGTGTTTGCTTTTAGAAAAAGTAAAACGTCGAGCGTTGCCCCCGCTCGGCGGTGGCTCTTGTTGTACTTTGGCAACTAAACTGAATTAAATGTCGCAGTAAGCTTGATAAAGCTGCAAGGAACTGTGTGACATATATTGATCACAAGTCAATACAAAACGCATAATCTTTATGTGGGACAATTTTTTTTAAGCTAAGATATTGTCTATCAAAGATGACTTCCGGCCAGGTAGGCCTTCAACCTTGGTTATCAAGGCACTCACACGAAACAACATGTGTTTCGGTTCAACAATGTACATCAAAAGTCGGAAGTAGCGAACAGTTAAATGACAGAAAGTCTGATCCTTTTGTCTACAGTGGTCATATATGTTTTTTACCAGAACAGAACAAGGAAATATTTATTTCAGAGAAGGGCACAAAGATCAGTTTTTCAACAAATGACTGACTTCGTATTGTGTATTAAAATAGTTTTGAAGTTTATTCATTTCTAGAGCAACGCATCATAAGTTGATAGTCCATATGTAATAAAATTCAAATTTTGGATACAGTTAAATAAAAGAGAAATTTTAAGAATAATAAGCTTTTCAAAAGAAAATGAAATAAAAAACAGTAATATAAAAGGTATGTATGTCGAACAAGAAAGATGACTGTAGTCATTCAGCGGACATGACTTCAATCACAGCTTTAAAGCCGAGCTTTAATTTATCAAAGAATTTCACGAAACTTTAATTTGAAAACGATATTTGCCACCGAACTCATTTAAGTTCTCAATATCTTTCTTCCGGTCTAATTTATTTGAATAAATAAATCAAAAACTTATATATTTGTGTTCTAAAAATAACGGACCGCATAAGAGGAAATTCGCATTCTTTTATCAGCACTTGATAAATTACTTAAGAAAATGTGCTTTTCCCACATACCTTTGTTTCGTTTACACTAACAACTTTAAAAACACGCTATTTATAATACAAGTATTAGAACTTACGCTTCGATATGGAAATGGTGAGAAGTACATGATTGATAGCATAACATAGGATAACACTACCTAATAACCCGAAAGAGTGGCGGAAATTACGGATAGCAAACCTCTTTCCATTTTTAAGTTAAAACGGATTTTCCGCAGTACATATTTCAAGCTATTGATTCGATATCTTTCTTAAGATGGCTGAGTGTTATGGAGTTTATTCGTTGCCAAAAATCCAGCCTTTGAAACTTGTCAAAGCTACCCCGGGTTTTACTAACAGATTAGAAAATCTAATTTTCGATCCAGATTACATACTCACTGGTATTGAGCATTTTATTTTTCGATTTTATAAAATGGAACTGTAGAAAGCAACTTAAAAAAAATTGCAAACTGGGGTTTAAAAAAATGTTTAATTTTTCAAATTTGAAACATGTAGAAATGAAAACGAGGAAGAAACAATTTAACGTTTAATGCTGGGGCATAAATACGTTGAGAAATTTTAAAGGGCATCAACTTTGCCCCACTCAAGGTTTAAACACACCACCCCCTTTCCCTTTTTCATTCAAACGCGTTTTAAACTTTTTAAAAACCGATTTTTCAATTTCCCATAGGGGGAATAACCCAGGGAAAAATAGACAAATTTTTAAAAAAGGGGGAAACCCAAATTTTTCACAAAAGCCATATAAAATAAAAGAGGTAACTCTTGTTGGTACAAAAATATTTCAAATTATATAGAAACTGTTATAAATTTCACATACATCAACTGCATTACAATTGACTTTGAATATTCTCTGATTTTGTTAAATCGTATTCTAGTACAGGATATTCAAGTAATGCAAAATTTGTTAAGATGTAATGTAACAATGTAACAACGTTTATACTGATAATGAGCATAGTAATATGCAAAAACTAAAGTTGGTGAATTAACATAAGGGAATGTTTCCCATATATAATGACACACCACTATTTGTTAATGAACGATAGGGTTTGTGTGCCTTCAAAAGTGACACGGTAACAGGCGAACGCATATCTTTTACATAGTACTAGAATGCGATACATGGAAGTCTTTTTTGGCAACACGAATAAAGAGAACCTGTGCCTTCTTTCTTTAAAGGACATATGTTGGGTTGTAGAAAAACCTATATTTTTGACCAAGTGTATAACCACGAAACAATTCAAAAAGTTTTACTACCGATAATTCTCGTTGTATAACCAAAAACTTGGTGGAATTTTTCCCATTTTAATTTGTTGAAATAAATATTCAGTGTTATCCTAGCATCTCTGTTTACCTCCATTGGGAGGTATTTTTGAGTCATCAGGATGTGATTTAGCCTTTTATTATTAAATATATGTAAGCTGACGTAGGTTAAGGTCTTTTTATGCATTGTACTGAATCAATAGCAACTCTAAAATCTGTGTATACATGATGTCAATAGCTGTTACATAGACTTGCTGCCTATCTGATCAAAAACAGAGTACATGAAATACTACACAAAATATTTATTAAGTTTTGTAAGTGATGGCTTTCTAGGAGATAAAATAAACAAGGTATACATATATTGATAATCAACATACATACCTTTGGACTCATTTAAATATGATTATTAAAAAACAAAATGGTAAAAATGGGAAATTATATCTATATGGTATGGTAAGATTAAAAAGTTATTTACGAAAGGGTACTACAATTTTGGTTATAAATTTACTTTTGTTAAAAGTTTTTTTTTCTTGTCAAGTCATACGCTAGAATAAGGGTTACTAATGTAATAGTAAATGCTACTACTAGGAAAGACAACAGTGTATTAGTAATTAGTCGTTACAAAATCTCAATCGATGTTGACTTGAAAATTTGAAAGTGGTAAGGAAGCAGCTAAACTGTAAATGTTACTTATTCCTTTGCAAATTGGAATACCCAAAATTTATTTGTCGTTGAATATAGTCTCATCAATAGTGTTTTCTTCCTTGAAAAATATTTTAACCTCAGGCAGTAAGTAGCCTGGTGAGTGTTTTATTTATTTTTTTTTTACATTTTCTTTTAGGAAATGTGGAATCTACAACGTTTTAAAACTTATATGCATATAATCCTTAAAAGTCCGCTGATGTTAATTGTATCAAGGCATGGTGTTTGGTGAATAACTAAACACCTAAAAGGTGAAGGTAAATGGAAACTACTCCGCTTCTTGTCGCCGACGGTTAATACCGAAAATGAGCGGATAAATACGTTTATTAACGTTGATGTAGTGGGCGGGAAAATGGGCGGAGCTTATTTTATCTCCCATTGAAAAACGTGTACAGCTGGATTATGCTGATCCGAATCAAGATGGTTCGACAATGTTAAGCATAGGATGTAACTTCTCTTTTGTGGGCGTATACACAAACAATTCAATTTTTTTCAATTCAATTCTATATTTTATTGAGCATATGGACATATTTAAATGTTCTTTACCCACATATATAACATGCAAGGCGTTGACATTTATTACAATGAGAAGAGCATGATTATGTTATTACAATGAACTATATAAATAACTGAAGGACAATATTCACATGAATATATATAACCAGTGACAGCATCAATATTGAAATAGAAAGAATAGAATAAAATTAATCATATCAAAACAAATGATTTATACAAAGTTGAAACACAAGTAAAAAAACAAACATTTGTAAAAGAACAATACTTCGTACCAGTACAACTTGGCCCATCTGATCACTGGTGCATACAAAGTAAATAATACAATCTGGGGCGGTCATTGTTTTGTTTATATTAGGAGTTCAGATAAATCTGGTCAGGTCAAATTTATATAGGTACTGAATATTATGGTTTCATGACATCATATATTTAAATAATATCTATATTTTAAATTTTCTTTTTTAACTAATTTCTAGAGAACGTAGTTTTGTTGCTAAGAATACATATTTAGCAAGTTTATTCAATACATTTGATTGTTGTGTTGACAGTAACATACGAAACTTTTGTAATGTTGGCCAATGACAATTATATTTTGGAAGACATTTATTTTTTATTTCACGGTAATGTTGGCATACAAGAACAAAGTGATTTTCATCTTCAACAACAATCATATTGCAAAAAATACAATTTCTATTTTCTCTTGGTATGATTCTAAATCTACCTTATTCTATTGCTAGTCTATGTGATGAACTTTTTTGGTCGCTATTCCATTTATACGTGATCAGTGGCCCGCGTCCGTCATCCGCGTCCAATACCGATTCGCTTATCAAAGAATACGTTGAAAATATTCTTTTTGTCCGTTTACAATCCGCTTCCGCGACGGTGTCCGCGACGTTTCGCAAGATGATCGATTGTTTACGGACGCTGACAGTCACGGAAAGGTCTCGTCACGACAAAATGCCTCGAACGAAATTAAATACTTTATCGATGAGTATCGCTCAAGCCGGTGCTAGGGGGCGTGAGGGATGTTGCACTTATTCATTATCTCTCATGTACAGACTCAATCAAACCGAGTCTGCAATTCTTATGTAATTTTGTTGTGATTAATGCTTCCGAGGGATCACTTTGTTTCCAGAATTTTGTACTTCACAACAGCAGGTGTCAAGTGCTGTGTGGCAGCTGTAAAAAGTTGCCCCGTACTTCACTTCAGTGTTGTTATATTTTCTGGTCCTTCGGGATCATTGATGCCAGCACTATTAAGTGTTGAGAATTGAGTACCGCTCTGAGAATTGAGTACCGCTCAAGCCGGTGCTAGGGGGCGTGAGGGATGTTGCACTTATTCATTATCTCTCATGTACAGACTCAATCAAACCGAGTCTGCAATTCTTATGTAATTTTGTTGTGACTAATGCTTCCGAGGGATCACTTTGTTTCCAGAATTTTGTACTTCACAACAGCAGGTGTCAAGTGCTGTGTGGCAGCTGTAAAAAGTTGCCCCGTACTTCACTTCAGTGTTGTTATATTTTCTGGTCCTTCGGGATCATTGATGCCAGCACTATTAAGTGTTGAGAATTGAGTACCGCTCTGAGAATTGAGTACCGCTCAAGCCGGTGCTAGGGGGCGTGAGGGATGTTGCACTTATTCATTATCTCTCATGTACAGACTCAATCAAACCGAGTCTGCAATTCTTATGTAATTTTGTTATGATTAATGCTTCCGAGGGATCACTTTGTTTCCAGAATTTTGTACTTCACAACAGCAGGTGTCAAGTGCTGTGTGGCAGCTGTAAAAAGTTGCCCCGTACTTCACTTCAGTGTTGTTATATTTTCTGGTCCTTCGGGATCATTGATGCCAGCACTATTAAGTGTTGAGAATTGAGTACCGCTCTGAGAATTGAGTACCGCTCAAGCCGGTGCTAGGGGGCGTGAGGGATGTTGCACTTATTCATTATCCCTCATGTACAGACTCAATCAAACCGAGTCTGCAATTCTTATGTAATTTTGTTGTGATTAATGCTTCCGAGGGAACACTTTGTTTCCAGAATTTCGAAAGAAAATACTAAAAAGCTCACCAAAATAGTGTTGGAGAACCCATTAATTTATGATGCACAAATGACAGATTAAAAAAAAAATATCTGGTCTTCGGTTGCTAAAGAGATGTTATTCAAAAACCTAATTGGTATTCAATGTTTTTCCTTTTTCTTTTTACCTAATTATTTGATGTTACAACAGGTTTTGGTATTTAAATGAAATTATATCATATTCTACAAATAATTATCCTCTGTTCGCTATACTATAATTAAATGTATATAGAAAATAACGTACCTATGGAATAATACTCACTGAAATGCACCGGACACGGATCACGGACGCGGGTCACGGATCGCGTACCAATGGAATAGCAGACTAAGTCTAGTGAGAGCTATGCGATGAGAATCAATTTTTACACATGATAAATATTTTTCAAATCCTATACAGTTTTTAAATAATTTGTGCACAGTTTTGGCATTGTATCAAAAGAAGAATAAAACCTTTGATAATATTGACAGTATAATGTTTCAATAGCAGCATTATGCTAGGGGGCGTGGATGGTAACTTGCATTTTCCAGTACCGTTCATGAATAGGCTCAATTAAACCGAGCCTGCGACATTTTACAATTTTGCCGTGTTGGGCTTTCTTTAAGGATTCTGTTTATCACTATTTCACTTGCTGCTTACTAAATGACATTTCTGTCCATACATATGCAAATCCTAAATTTTCTAAAAATGTTTTAACTTCGATTGCCCAAGAACCTCTGAAATTGTTAATTTTACTGTCCATAAAGGATTCATATACAAACACATCGGGAGTGTTAAAATTTTATAAAAATATTTAATAATGCGCTCCTTTCTCAAAATATTAAAATAAACCCTCCTAACTTCACCATATACAGAAACACAAGTTGTTTGATGTCTAACATGCAATATTTGCTTTAGAAATTTAACATATACTTTTTCAATATCCGGGGAATTATGGAATCCCAATATTTCACAGCCATAATTTAGAATAATTATGTAAGATCATAGAATCAAATAGCTTAAGTTTTTCAGATAAAGCAACTGGTACAACATCAAATAAGGAATTGAGAGTAAATAATGCACGTAATGCCTGTTCAGAAAGTGCCTTTTGAACGTTATAAGATATGCCGTTACTAGTTAACATAACACCAAGGTAACACAATTTATTTACAACATTCAATCTATTATTATCATAATATGCATCAAAACGCTCCTGGTTATTTCCAGATTTACATACCATGGCAACAGTTTTAGCTGTATTTACTGTAATATTCCATTTAACACAATAACAACGCAATTTATTAAGTAACGCCAGTAAACCAGACAACGAATAAGAGAATAACACTGTGTCGTCTGCAAAAAGCAACATAAAAATTTGCATTTGATCTATTGTACAAGATAAGCTTTAATATCTTTAATATAAGCTTCCATATCATTAATAAACATTATAAAAAGTAGAGGAGATAATGTTTCTCCTTGCTTTACGCCCAAATTACTTTCAAAATGATCTGATATATAACCATTCGATCTTACACAAGTTTTCACTGATCGATACACAGCTTTTAACATATTGCCATCTTATAAGTCAACAACTTTAACCATATTCCATTTCTATACACAAGGGCGAATGCCTTTTTAAAATCTACAAATGCACAATACAGTTTCTAAATGTATTTTGTTGAAATGCATGTTTACAATGTTAAATCGGCAAACTCAATCCAAGAATGCAACATTGGAGTTTACATACAAAGAAATACAATTGTGTTTGTCCGTTAATAAACAGATCATCAATACTGGACTTTTGGCAACGAATAGCCTCCATAGAGTGTTGGCGGTGTGAACAACAATGATGACATGAGTTTATAAGTGTGGTACTCATTTTTTTTGTTTTTACAGAAATATTTAGACTAAATGAATATTTGAAGACGTCAAAGTCAGCGACGAGTATTGATAAGTATAATTCAAATGAGAATATATTTTTTCAATATGAATAATAGTTTCGTGATTTCATTCAAGGAGACAACTTTCTGTCCGTAAAATATGAATAATGATACTTATCACAAAACAGTATTTTTATTGATGTCAATAATGTTATATGTGAATATGTTTATAGTGAATTAAATTGTTGCAGATGTTATCATCATTCATTTATAAATGACATAAAGTATTTATGCTGACATGATGAACAGTCCAAGAATATTGTGATAAGGAACCATCAGTTGAGAAATGGTATTGTGTTGTTATAATGAACAGTCGTCATACCTTGTATGATGAACTTGTTGGCCTTACATTTAATATAGTAAAGGAATGACCTGTACCTGAATAGTTTTATTTACAATGTATTGTTATATTTACTTAACATCTAAACAGTTGTGTTCACTCTACAAGGTCGTGAAAGTACATGACATTTGTTAACAGTAATTTACATTTAGGTCTGTCAAATTTATGCATTTAAATGAGTTGGTATTAAATGGCATTCGTAAATATCTTGTAAAAAGTCACTTTTTGACTAGTAATAACTGCGAAACACCAGCGAGAAGTTTTTCATTTTTCCTTTAAATTTATCACTATCAACAGAAGCTTGAATGAACAAATGAATCATAAAGCCGGTGTTATTTAATACCAAAATAAATGTTATTTATCAAACTGGATTTTATATGGATTATTCTGTATACATAACTGGCAACAGAAAACTATATTTTTGTTACAGAGATTATTTGAAAAATAGCGCTGTCAAAACTTGTAAATAATACGCCATTTAAGGTCAACATAAGTTCAACTTGGTTACATATAAACAACAAATAAACATCGAAATAATCGGCATTTTACTCCATTTACAAAATTTTTCGATAAATTTAAACGTGGCCCAGCTTTGCCGTGTGCAAAATGCGCTGCGCTTTGAAGATAGGAACCAGTCGGCTATGTGCGGAGCCATTCGGTTATATGTTTGTTCTCATACTTCAAAGCGGGCGAGTTTGTACACGGCAAAGCTGGGACCACGTTTGAATCGAAAGATTTTGTCAATGGAATAAAACGGCGTAAATCTCGATGTTTATTTCGGCTGTTGCGTTGTTTATATTACCGTTGAAGTTTAAATTGACCATAATCGTGAATAATTATATATTCTGTGCCGATGGACCAAAGGATTATATGAAAATACAGTAAACTCCAACTGTATCGATATCGCTTGTAATGATATATCGGTTATATCGATACGTTTGTCTTGGTCCCTGCCAACTTCCATTATAACCTAACGGAAGCATCCTCGCATATATCGATATCGCATGTATCGATATTTCGGATATATCGATGTGGATTTTCAACCCCAACGCACATATATTACCTCTTAAAACGATAATTTGCTGCACAAGTTTGTTGTGGAAGAGCGGTCTCGTGAGAAAAGATCTATTCTATTGTTTGTTGATAATTGCCCGGCCCATCCGAAAATCGAGGGATTAAAAGCTGTAAAACTGTTGTTTTTCCCACCTAACACTACATCTAAGTTACAGCCCTGTGATCAAGGGATTATCTTTTCATTCAAAAGGCATTACAGGTCACGTGTCCTTGACCATATTATTTCATGTCTAGACAAACATATCGATAAACAGATTAACATTCTAAAAGCCATACAATGGTTTTATGCGGCATGGAAAGATGTAACACCGACGTGTATCCAGAATTGTTTTAGAATGGCTGGATTTATGAATCAAGCACAGCATGAAATTAATGCGACCCCGCAGGGGCATGTTTCCGATTCGTCTGACACAGACGAGTTCGAGGACGATGACATTCCGCTGGCTGAATTGGCATCGAAATGGAATCGCCTTAGAGTATTCAGTGACATAGACAAAAACATTTCTTTTGATGATTACATAAATGCCGATGAGAATGTTGTCTCCGTTGAGCAGAAGTCCGATAGCGATATAATAGCGGAGGTACAGCAAAAATTGAAACCCACTGAAACCCTGTCGCAGAGTGACGAAGAGTGTGACTCTGAGACTGTTGATGACCCCCACCCACCATGAATGAGTTTCTTAATGCTATAGACACTTGCAGACGCTTTGTTCTTTCTAAGTCTGATTCGTGTGATTCTGTTTTCGGAAGTTTACATGAACTTGAGAAATTTTCAGTTGAAATAGGGAAAGCCAAAAAGCAGACAAAATTAACTGATTTTTTCCGACAGTGAATGCCTTTGTACATGAACAAAACTTAAACAAGATTTACCCATGAGTGTAAATAGTTAAAAAAGCAATTTAATTTTGACGGTTTTTTTCCAGTGTATAAATTTAAGCCAATGTAAGGTTACCAGTACCTGTGTACATATTACTTTCGGTTTATGTCAGTTTTGTGTTTATTTTGATGTGCAACTGATTTTTTATGCATTCAACATTGATATGCATAAAAAGAATAAAGTTTTGTCGTAAGTACATGATTGTCACATGTCTAGTATATAATGCTACTGCTTATACATGTTGAACGATGCAGTGCATCGTCAGTAAGCTACACACGGTTCTACCTACATAACCACTAAGACATACATTCCCTTACAATATCTTCAAAATGTGCGTGATTAACAGTTCAGATGTTGTGATGAAAAAATCTAAAATATTGACAATGATTTATCCACCATATTAATCATATGAACGGATATACACAACAGATCTTCTTATTTTGGTTTTTAAAATTACCGCACATTTTAATCAAAAAGCTGAAGCATTATGTCTACAATGCTGAGCATAGCCTCCTTATCAGTACATTAAGTGTTTTGGTTTATTGAAACGCCTATAGTGTAAGGCTACATAAGTGCGCTTAAACGCTATGTTTGTAAATAACGCAAGTGACGTCAAGTCAGTGTTGTTACACTAGTGTTATATCATTTTTATTAAAATGGCTTTTTTACACTTCTGCACCGCGGTTTATGTGATGAAATAGAATATATGTTGTTATCTTAATGTCTTAACGTTTTAAAACAACGAAAAAGAGCGGACTGAAATCAATATGCCTCTTATTATGCTGACATGTACTGGAAGGCGTAAACACAAATGTAAGAAGACGAAAATCCAAAAGTATGAAACAGTGAAATACGCACACGAAATCACAAAATTGCGATGATGAAGATGCCAAAACACGGTAACAAAAAAAAATGCGATATAAACCGGCTTGAATTTGTCGAGTTTTCGTCATCATGTTTTCGCATCTTCATCATCTTGTGCTTGTGCAAGTGGAAATGACATCACATGAAGGCAAATATCGCCTTAATCGCATCGAATTTTATTGTGGGAATGAACATCTTTTACCACCTAAACCTAGACTTACTTAGGCATCTTAGAAAGGATATATTAGCGTTCCACTCTAAATTTGTTTTAGTTCCGGCTAACAAAGCGGCCAATATCATAATTATCGTATGACGTATTCATTATATAAATGTTTTACAAAATTAACTTAACAGCACTAATGCTTATTCTAAAACCGTTCTTTCCGAAACAGATATTGTGAACAGTCATATTTCTAGTATTTCTAATTTCAAAGTACGTGTTGATGAAAAAGAGCTTAAACTTCCTATCATGTACTGGGTTCTTAAATTACAAAAACATCCATATAAAGCCCGCTTTTATTGCTAATTCTTTATCTTGTACTACCAGTAATCTTTCTATTTTATTGACTTCTTGTCTTACTGCCATCAAGACACATGTGAATAGATACTGTTCAACAGTTTATGAAAATACGGGCAAAAATCTTTTTTTGGTCTGTTTAAAATTCAACTGATATTTTAGATAAGTTTAAAGTTAAGGATTATCAAGCTTCATCTGTAAGTACTTACGATTTCTCTACCCTATATACAACATTGCCACATAATCTTATAAATGTTAAATTATTATCTTTAATAAAAAAAAAACATCTGCAAGAGAACAGGTCACATTTCTTGCTTGCAATTCAAAGAAGGCTTTCTTTACCAATTGTATCATTAAACAATATACAATGTGGACCTGTGACGAAGTTTGTAAAGCACTTTCTTTTTTATTAAATAACATTATGTCAGGTTTGTAATACAGTTTTCGAACAGATAATAGGCATTCCACTAATTGTGCCCCCTGATAGCTGATTTATTTATTTACTGCTATGAGAGGGATTTTATGTTAAGTCTTTCCCCTACTTCACATCAGGAAAATATACATGCATTTAACAACACTTCCCGCTACATAGATGACATTCTTAACTTGAATAATCGTTATTTCGATAAATTGGTTTCTAAAATATATCCCAGTGAACTTAAATTGAATAAAACTAACTCTTCAGACGTTATTACATCATTTTTAGATTTAAACATTTCTAGCATTAACAATACTATAGTAACTAAAATCTACGATAAAAGAGATGATTTTGATTTTAATATTGTTAACAATCCACATTTAGATGGAGATGTACCTCATGCTACATCATATGGGGATAATATTTATCAATTAATATGATTTGCTAGGGCGTGCAGTCGTGTTGATGATTTTAATGAGCGCAATTTATTTATTACTAACAAACTTCTTAAACAAGGTTATCGCTATCATAAATTGCATAAATATTTTATAAAGTTTTACCATCGTAATTCAGACTTAGTTTTAAAATTTAATTGTAATTTAAAAACTCTTTTACGACTAGGTATTAGCAAACCTGACCTCTACGGAGATGTGGTTTACAAACTTCGTAGGATCATGGGTCATAGTAATTTTTCTGCCGTCTTCACTAAATTATCAAACTTTTCATTTAAAGAGGCTATGACCCAATTATTTTAAGGCATACCTCATGTTTGGTGTTTAACCTTTTTACAGTTGGACGCTACGCTTTCCTCTTTTAATTACATCTGACGGACTATGTGGGAGACTCTATGATGGACAGTTCTTAAAGCCCTTTGGGACTGAATTGTCTTAATGTTCGTCTTCTGTCTTGCTACGTGGGGCCCTTGTAGGTGATTTTCGTGTTGCTCTGCCTTCCTTTAAGGCATCGAGTACTTTGGTAATGGTCATTAGGCTGTACCTTTTTCTACATATTTACATAATAGTGTGTGTGTTTTATTTATTTCGTCTAATGTAACCATGACCATTGTTAGAATTTCACATGGCGGGGATTATTTTTATTTACACTTTCGTGTCATTCAGGAACATATTGGGGCTAAGAGTGAGGTTTGGCGCGCCTTAAACCGGTTTTAACTCCCCAATGGTTTAACTACCACTGACCGTTCCAAGGCGGTACCCTCTGTGTTCCTTCACGTATTTTTTCTTGTACGTATTGTTACTTGTTTGGATGTTTACATGTTTTGTGATGTCTGTCTTGTTTGATTGTCGTTGAAGGTAAGTATTTTCTCAATCCCCCCCCCCTCTCTCATTTTTAATCCCGCCACCTTTTCACCCTTACAGCCCTTATCCCTTTAATTCCCCTAGGGGCCCGTTTTAGTTGATATTATTTCACATTACATGTCCCACTCCTTTCACCCATAATTCCGCTCTATGTTTCTTGAGTATGTCGGGGGCCACGTCCTTTGAACGTTGCCTTTGCCTTGTTGATCTTTATTCTTGTTTTTTTGATAACGTGACACTAGTCAGCAAAAGCAGATTAAACACCCAAATGTATTTTTTGTTGTTGAATATACACTTTTCATGTTCACAAAAAGTGTACAGTGATACTGTAATCATTATTGATCTAACATTGTATAACTTCAACTCCGATGTAACACCGAGCAGTTTCTGATACTCGATACCCCAACAATACGGGACGGTGCATAAGCTACAAAACGAGTATAATTTTTAAATTCGCCGTAGCTGTCAGTTTGAAGCAGCTACGGCCACGGTAAATTAGAGTTTTTAAGAATAAAAGGCCAATTCAGATAAAGATATTATCTATATATGTACATATTTTCATGTTTATAACAATCTGAAGGACCTGTTGGCGATCTTTCGGTTTTAAATTCAATTTTTACGTCTTTAGGGATGCTTCAATTAATTTTGAAATATTTTCAGTCATAATTTATAGATTTTTTTGATGTTGTGGCGAGTCAGCACAACCAGGTAGGCAGTATCAATTGGATTTTTTTGGGTCGAAATGAATAATAACACAACATAAGTTACGATCATGTATTTATATAAACAGGCAATTTATGGTACATATACAAAAGTCATTTTTAAATTAAACACACAATATTACATTAACTGACAAACTTGATTCATTAGAGTATATAGTTTTATAAATACAAAATACATTTATACCTGTAATTATAAAAAATGAATAAATACAGATATGGAAATACATTTTATAGCACAAAATGGCTTTGTTATTGTTTTGAATGATGGTGGAGAAAAGAGGAAAGAGATTGACCCGTGCAAAAGTAAATCGAATTCAACGAAAAAAGAGCTTTTAATAAGAACAACTGCATATGAAACCCTGTAGGAGTATCATTTAAAATGTTATAAATTGTTTTGTGTTTGTATTTAAAAATGATATAATCTAGGATAGTTTATTGGAAGTATAGGTTAAGAATAGTTAAATAAATGTTTGCCAGTACTATGTTATAAATATATATATATATACCCTATGACAATGTCAATCAACTATTTTTATTACTCATTGTAAAAAGATGACGTCTTTGTTTTTACATCTGAAGTCAGGTGGTAGAACTACTTTCAGTCAGTATTATCTTTGAGATGAAAACGAATAATCGGTATTCCGAATGGAAAGAGCTTCAATAAAAGCTTCAAAACCCAAAGAAAAAGAAGTACATAAAACAATATTCTTTTTCAGCATATACCTACAGTTAGGAATTTTTTTATAGCATTTGTACTTTATTTACAATATTATCATCCCAAATTTGTTGCAATAGTAATTTCCCATTGGCCAATGGGATTTATTTTATACTGTTAATGAAAGTATATCACGTGACTAAGAAATAGAACTGTTAAGTGAAAACAGTACGTTTTAACAATAAAAATCTGGTCACGTGCTTCATTTTTTTCAAAAAAAAAAAGAATAAAATGGCTGCCATTTTAAATTTATTCTCGATATAGCTTCTCTTTTTTAAGTTTACTACAAAGAGTCGGAACCAGAGTGACTATGACAGCCAGAAAATTTAGTTATTTGCAACGTATAGTGTTTTTTCGCGTCTTAAACATGTTTTAGTTAAGAAGTGGTACAGTTATCATTTGTTTTTATCGTTGAGTTATTGCATGGAAATATGTGTCTAAATAACCGTATAAATATGTCTAGTGTTTTGATTTCTAAATAAAACAGATCTTACTGTATGACTGGTAGATATCAATATTTGCTTAAAGAATAAGAAATAACTTCTAATGTACAGGTACAACTTAACCCTTTCCCTCATGAGCATATTGTGAAAAATGGCCGTTTTCACTGAAAAGCCTCCTGTTACAAGTTCAAACTACTATGAAACTATGAAAAATGCTTCAATACTAATCAAACTTGGCACAAATGTTAATTGGACCATTGCCTTTGTAACGACATGCTCAGTCTCAAATTTCCTGTTACCATGGCAACGAGGGGACATCTCAAAATTGCAAAAAAAAATCACTATTTTGCGTTGATTTTTTCCATCAAAATTTATTTCAAAGTCCTGTATCTTCGAATTCTCAAGGGATTGAGATCGAGTCAAAGGCTTTTAAGCGTTGGTTACACGTTACCTTATGATCGACCTTGGGTCATTTTTAGCCTCTCACAAGTCAACAATTTCTTTGACGATAAGGGGGACGCCGTCCCCTTAAAACCCCAAAAACAGAAGGGGGCACATCCCCCTTTTGGCACCCCCCTGATGTATCTTTTAGGTTGGAGGCGGCACCGAAAAAGTGCTCACTTTTTAGCAACATTTTGTCAAAGGAAAACATGTGTTTGGGGCCCAAATACGACATGTTTTCATTATTTCAGGCCTCAAAGGGGGGGGGGTCGAAAATGCGTTGATTCGCGTAGATATGAGGAAAAGGGTTAACAAAAAAATGATGAAAAACTTTGGAATCACCCAAAATCTAGTTTTTCCATGTTAACATGTGGTGTTTCACCTAATTTTGGTGAAAAATTTTTGTTTTGTATCATTTATATTTTTTTTTAAGTAAACCCTTTCCCTCGTGAGCATATTGTGGAAAATTGCCGTTTTCACTGAAAAGCCTCCTGTTACAAGTTCAAACTGCTATGAAACTATGTAAAATGCTTCAATACTAATCAAACTTGGCACAAATAATGACTGGACCACCGCCTTTGTAACGACATGCTCAGTCTTAAATTTCCTGTTACCATGGCAACGAGGGGACATCTCAAAATTGCAAAAAAATCACTATTTTGCCTCGATTTTTTCCATCAAAATTTATTTCATAGTGCTGCAACTTCTCAAGGGATTGAGATAGAGTCAAAGGCTTTTAAGCGTTGGTTACACGTTACCTTATGATGAACCTGGGGTCTTTTTTAGCCTCTCACAAGTCAAAAATGTTCTTGGCGTGGAGGGGGCACATCCCCCTTCTGGCAACCCCCTGATGTATCTTTTGAGTGGGGGGGCGGCACCGAAAAAGTGCTCACTTTTTTAGCAACATTTCTAAAACGAAAAATGTGTTTGGGGCCCAAATAGGACATTTTTTCAATAGTTCAGGCCTAAAAAGGGGGGGGGGGTCAAAAGTGCGTTGTTTCGCGTATATATGAGGTAAAGGGTTAAAAGGTAAGACTAGTTGGGTAATTGTAACTCTAGGTTCAATTTTGTTACAGTTAGATTGAGTTTAAACTTTCGGTTCATAACATTATATGTTCGGGATAATAAAATCAGTAAGACATAGGTCCTGATACATGTCACAAAAAATATATGAATTCACTGTTAAATAAAAATGCCTGTCCTTTATATTTGCATAAATGCATCTTTTACTTGAACTTTTCTTTTTGATCTATCTATTTGTGTATGCAATCGCAAATCATCTGATCGCTCTACCATGGTTAAGCTTACTTTAATGCACAGCACTTATGTTATCATATGTTTTATTGTCATCTCTTAGTCGAGAATCTAGTGTTGTATATTCGGCTAAATCATACTGTTCTGTACTTTGCTGTCCAGCACTGTTGTTTATGGAGTACGCCAAATTGGAATACGTCTGTGTATTTGTCCTGAAGTGAAAACATGTTTTTAGTTTTCTTGCATACAATAAAATGAATGCATTTTTCAACATTTATTTTATCCCAAAATGTGAATATCCCATATTGCTTGACCTTTCTCAAAGCATTAATAGACAAGAGGGCCATGATGGCCCTGAAATCACTCACCTGTATATAGGCCCCTGGGCCAAGGCCAATTTTAAACTTGAACAAACTTGGTAGACACCCATTAGAAGATGTTTCATGATAAATATCTAAGCTAGCTCTTTTGAGTTTTTATAAGAATTTTTTTTTTAGTTTTTACTATGTACATATAGGGGAAAACAATGACCCATCCCCTGGGAGGGGCCCAGGGCTTTTATTTCAACAAACTTGGTAGACACTCACAAGAAGATATTTCATGCTTAGTATCTAAACTCTAGCTCTTTGGGTTTTTCATAAGATTATGTTTTAAGTTTTTACTTTACACATCAAAATCAATGACCCCTGGGGTGGGCCAATTTTAACCCAAGGACCCTTATTTGAACAAACTTGGAAGACACCAATTAAAAGATGTTTCATGCTTAATATCTTAGCTCTAGCTCTTTGGGTTTTTAAAAAGAAGATTTTTAAGCTTTTACTATATACATAAAGGGAAAAACAATGACCCCCCCCCCCCTGGGGCGGGGCCAATTTTAACCCCAGGGATTTTATTTGAACAAACTTGGTAGACACGCTCTAGAAGATGTTTCATGCTTTATATCAAAGCTCTAACTATTTTGTTTTTTTAAAAGAAGACTTTTAAGTTTTTACAATATACAAATAAGGGAGAATCAATGACTCCCCGGGGCGGGGCCAATTTTGACCCCATGGCATTTATTTGAACAAACTTGGTAGACAATAACAAGATGATGTTTCATGCCAAATATTTAAGCTCTAGATATTTTATCTTTTCTAAAAGAAGATATTTCAAGTTTTTTCTTTCGGTTGCCATGGCAACCAGAGTTCTGCATGGAATTACATTCTTTGAACAAATTTTAAAGTCGACTACCAAAGGAACATTCCTGTGAAGTTTGGATGAAATTGGCTAAGCGGTTTCTGAGAAGATGTCGTTTAAAGTAAATGTTTACGGACGGACGATGGACGGACGCCGGACGAAAAGCGATCACAAAAGTTAACCCTGTCATTTTGTGACAGGTGAGCTAAAATTTGTTTGGACTGTTTTTTTTTCTGTCCTTTTTTCGTAAATAAAATATTTAAAGACTTATTTATACTAAGTGTTTTAATACGAAGTAAATTATGAATATCTTTTTAGTGATATATTAACTGTAAACTGAAGGATAATCATTTAAATTGTTAAATTGCTTTTTGTTTTCATTTTGCTATCTTTATAATATCAATAACATTAAAAATGAATCATACAACACAACTCACGCATTTTCTTTTAATCCCTGGGTTAATGTTTGTCCTGAAACAGAAATGTTATTCTGAATCATTTTATTATTGCTATATGTTTTTACGACAAATAAACCTCAAAGCGATGATAAGATTTCATGTAATGATCGTTTCTGTACTATGTTCATTTAGATATATTTTCTATAAAGAAGGAATGAGAATAGTAAGACATTGTTGAAGGTTTTAACTTATACGTACATAAAGCTGTGAATAAGAACTTCATATAATGGCCAAACTTCTCACAGTAACTTAAGTGACAATAGGTATATCATGTGACCAGAAATGGTGACTATCACAATATAGCGTTTGCAAGACGAAAGACAGGTATGTAATTTCTATTTTGCTCATACTACAACTAGGTATTTTATTTTTATTTCGGTTAACACTACAATTAGTTAAGTTTCTTTAAGATGTCTTTGTGCTTTGATTGCAAGGAACTTGATCTGGCATCTAGTCATATATTTCCTCAGACCCTGCACCGAAGTATCATCTCTATATTGGCTGTTCAGATAAAACAATTTGAAAATTGAATCGAGAGACCAACGTATTTTCTCCCATTCTGACATTGCTAAAACAGTGCCTACAAAAGTTAAACTTATAAAAAGTAAGTTCTTTGTGTTTATACAGCTGTATTATTTTTTTCAAATGCTCTAGACGATCAGGAAAATTGGTTAAACTGTTTTTTTTTTACTTTTATAAACATCTCTGAACACAAAGGACTAACGATTTGTAGGTTTCATTTTTGTAGGCATGCCTTAATAATGTCAAAATGTGTCTATATAACAATTACACCAAGTAAAAAAGGCTTCTTTGGCCGGAAATTTTGACTCAAAGACTTAAGAAAACGACTTCTTATGCTGGCCTTGTCAAAAATACATTCTGAAATCCTATTAGGCATGCAGATATTTTGAAACGGACATAAAGTATGTATTTTTTCTGAAAGACACATGCGTACATTCATGCAGACAGACAGACATACAGACAGACAAGGGTTTCACTTTATTCACCAAACAAGGGTCACGATTTCAACATAAGTAAGTCAATTGATGATTATTACAGATGTATCCATATGTGGCAAAGAAACAGGGTTATTGGCTACAATAAATTACGGTCACTACTTATTAAATTCTGGTTGGAATATTGAAAATTGGAGGCCCCTTTCAGTCTTAATTGGTAAAATTGATTTATAAGAAAGCAAGCAGCATCTTATTCTATATGACCCGGTCGCTTATCGGTGGTTATACTTTATTATGCTGATAATACTTTTATCAGCAAGGCTCTTATGCTGTCATGATATAGCTAGATAAGACTCCATGTGGGCAAAATTGCCCACATGGAGTATGTTTGGTTTGATTTACGACATATCTATATGATTTATCCCATACATGTGTTGTGTACGTTAAAGCTTAACACATGTTTTAAGTAAGAAAATTGGGCTCAGAAATCGAGCATGGTCATCCAACCCACTTTTTTCAGCATTGAAAATAATCTTAATCTTTTCGCATAAACTAAATTCAAAGGAATTTATAATTATGCCATAGACCTATGGCTTATCATGCTTTGCTTTTTATAAAATAATTGTACATGTTAATGTCAGTTTATTCAAAATCAAGTTGTATTATGTTTTTACCTATTGTAAGACATTTGTTTATCAAGAATTTACTTGAATGTGTAGGTGTTTACCACATCAGCTTGTGTCAATAAAGAAGATAAATTAAATCGACTTAGGCGTTGGTTAAACTAGCTGTATCAAGACAGCATAGTAAAGACTCCATACAATGCATCAAGTGGGCTCTGTTATTTGGTAACTCTGTATTAGAATTGTGTTTTAAATGAGTGCGCGTGAAAAAATTAACAGCAAAAGGTATGGAGCTGCACGAAGGAAAAGTTGTTGACTTTCAGAAAAGACTAAATAAAAAATATCAAGAAATATAGGTTACATTAGCTGAAGAAGTGTCGACTGATGTCAGTGTAGTTAAATTACATGTAATTGAATGGTCAGACTGAAAACTAGGTTTGATAAAAACACTTTCACAGTATGGTGACATAAAAGAAGATAAAAGAAAGAAATCGAGTCTAGCTTGTTGCAGTGGGTTTGCCTTTCGCCCAATATATCGCTTTTTATCAGGTTGAAGTTCCCTAAAAGGGTCAGTTAGGCTTTTTTCCATGTGTTTAAAAGTAGTTGATCATGCATTTTTATTATTTATATTTTTATAGTTATAATAATCTAAATCAGGATTTTGCACCAAATTGAAATCACCACAAACGCAATACGAGTATTTTCCTTTATTTTTACAACCTTGAAAATGTTCTCATAAAAGGACGGATTGTCGGAGCTCGGTCCGTATAACGATATTAAAGTAAATCTTATTTCTCCAACAGATAAGTCCAGTATGACATAATTTCAAAAATCATCAACTATACTTTTATGCTTTTTGTAATCTTGAATTTGAAGATAAACAACTTAAAAACATTCTGCATTCCACTGAGTATAAATGGTGTTAATTTGATTGTGTAGAAAATGTGTGTCTTAAAGACAGTAAATATCACATTTTGAATATTTTATGTACTGAAATACTTGCAGCCATTTCTTTATACCTTGTAGGCCTCTACAATTAAGAGATCATATTTTTAATGCACACATTTTTTTTTTTCAGAAAGAAAGAAAGTTGTTTGACTACAGAACTAATACAAAGAGGTAATAAATACAAAAACATTGTAACAGGTAAACTAAAACAACAAAAACACATCATAATGTACCACAAAAATAATTTTTGGCAAGAGTTCGTCCCCAGCAGTTGCGACGTATGGCTTAAGAAAAACAGTTGAGTATTCAGATCATGATGTTCAAGTTGCTGAATGGAGAAAAGAGCTCTGCTGTCTTGTCAACAAAGCGGATTTATTAAATCGACTCAGGCGTTGGTTATACTAGCTATATCAAGAAAGCATAGCTGTTTTCTCCATTCAGCAACTGGTTTAACAAATTATTAATAACGCAAAAGTGTTATTGACAAGTTCATTAAGGTGACAACAAACACTTTCCGTGGTACTACCATAAATGTCATTTAAAACAACTTATTTTAGTAATAATTGCTATTTATTTAATTCTTGTGCATTATATGTCTTTGATCTTTAAATTTTAAACAAAAATCCTATTATTTTAAACCGTTAGATATTAGTTAATTAATTAATTAATTTATTATGACAAACAAATTATTAGTTTACACATTATTGTTATAACAGGCAGCTACATAGTTTCAACCATCCCCATGGACGTGCAATTGTCGCTATTCTAGATAATTTATGTTACATCTTGGCCAACTATTTCTTAAATTATAAAAAGACTACATAAAAGGTAGACGATAAATATACTATTAATTTTGACTTATTTTCATAGTTATACGCTTTGATTTGTAGGCTTTGTTTTGAAGACTTCATTTGGTTGAAAATAAATTACTAAAACCAGGTGCGCTCATGTCTTTCGTTGAAATAAGAGAATATGTTTAGACATTTTTACCTTTTGTACGCTTTATTCTTCTAAGTAATACAGTCACATAACTGGCATACACGGATATGACAATGGAAATAAGTCCAAATACAACTCCAACTATAATTGTTTGATCACGGTCATTTTGGCAATTACGTCGTTCAGGAAGGTCTGAAAACATATATGAACATAATAATGTTTGAAAATTTCATATAACATCAAGAAAGCATTTGCAAAATGCTAGCCTTTAGTTTAGTCAATGAGTTAAGAATAAAGAGTGCTATTGTTATTGTAACGTAACGTGTCATAAAAGTATTATTATACTTTTTACAGTCAGTTATCTCCTGAACTACTTGTTTTGTTTCTAGTCTTAAAGAAGCATGAAGATGAATTCAAACATTAACGTGTTTGTCTGTAGTACTTGATGACACTGTATGATTGTTACGACAGAAAGTAGTAAACAAGGACTGACGATTAAACTTATACAATCAAGTACAATGATAATGATTTAGTAATTTGTATGAAAGTCAAACTTTTGCTACAATAACAATTTTAATAATTTCACATTCACCACTACTTTCTTCAGAAATACAGGCAAAACAAAGTATTTAATAAGTCTGCACAAACTGCATGATATATTTATTATGTATTTCAATTCTTTTTAAGACTTGAAAAAAAAATCTAGTATCCGAACTGTTTTTACAATGCGTAGGGAGTAGGGGATTATTTAGAATACTACAAGAAATATACGTATAGATACCTAACAATTAGTCTAATTCCGAAACAAAAAAAAAATAAGAAACAAATATATATGAAACTTTAAGGTGAAATATTTCATTTAGATTACAAATCGGAATAGAATAAAAACATTTTGTTCCGTTTCGATTAAAAAAGCCAAAACAATAAAAACAGCAAATTATTATTTCGATGCATTGGTAATTGTAAATCTATAATATAGATGTTTATATGTAACCGCCGCGCAGTAGTGTAATAAAGCCATTTATTACATGCTTTTCGGTGTTTTATAGAAATATATCAGTGATATAAAACTGGTAATTTCACTGTTTTAAACAGTGAAATTATCAATTTGATAATTTCACTGTTTTGAATTTAAGCCCCTTACGTTGTTTCAGTGAAATACCAGCGTGCACAGTACTGGGTACCAACTTCATGACGTGACGTCGTAAATGACGTCACGTTGTATTATCATTTGGCGCGCTTTTCATTAAGTATTAGGTTAAAATGTCTTTTTAAAACGTTTCTTTGCATATAATAAAAAGAAAATTTGTTTAGCTTAGTGTAAGATCGAAATATATTTCACCTTGTGAACACCAAAAGTTCATATTTCACTCGTGGCTGCGCCACTCGTGAAATATACCTTTTGGTGCTCACTTGGTGAATTATATTCCGATCTTACACTAAGCTAAACAAATTTTCTTTTTATTATATGCAAAGAAACGTTTTAATTTCACCTTGTGAACACCAAAAGTTCATATTTCACTCGTGGCTGCGCCACTCGTGAAATATACCTTTTGGTGCTCACTTGGTGAATTATATTCCGATCTTACACTGAACTAAACAAATATCCTCTATTTATTACATGCTTTTCGGTGGTTTATAGAAATATATCAGTGAAATAAAACTGGTAATTTCACTGTTTTAAACAGTGAAATTATCAATTTGATAATTTCACTGTTTTGAATTTAAGCCCCTTACGTTGTTTCAGTGAAATACCAGCGTGCACAGTACTGGGAACCAACTTAATGACATGACGTCGTAAATGACGCCACGTTGTATTATTATTTGGCGCCCTTTTCATTCAGTCTTAGATTTAATGTCTTTTTAAAACGTTACAACGTTAAAATTTGTTTAGTTTAGTGTAAGATCGAACTATATTTCACCTTGTGAACACCAAAAGTTCTGCGCCACTCGTGAAATATACCTTTTGTTACTCACTCGGTGAAATATATTCAGATCTTACACTGAACTAAACAAATATCCTCTATGTAATAAAAACGATATTACACTAGTGTAATAACACTTAAACGTGACGTCGTTTGCGCTATATAAAAACATAGCGTTAAAGCGCGCTAATGTTAGCGTTACACTGTAGGCGCCTCATTAAAAATTTCTCATTTTAACAGTTTACTGTTCTTATTTTATATATGTGATAAACAGAATATTATATTCGTGTAGCTTCAATACTTAATTTATTGGAACTCGTTGAAGAGGCTCGCATAATATGATTTTATTCAACTCGTTCAACAAATTTAGTATTACACTCATATAATATCCTCTATATATTATATATTTTTATTTCAAACAACGAGAAAAACTGGGAACTAGTTAGTTGCTTGTTCTTATCTTCTATATAGTGTGTACCTTATTCCTCGGAAAGTACTATGAAAAATGATAGATACTCGAATGCTTTCGACAAAAATAAATCAGGTTGTTTTTCATTTTAGTTTTTATATATCGTAGGTAGCCTGACAATTACAAAAATGTGCGTGTTCCTTATTCTCATGAAATCGCCACAGCAATTGAATATGTTAAATCTATATTATTCCTTGTTGAGGGCCTCGTTGGAGATTGATATGTTTGTTCAAATGAGTTCTCTCGTTACATAAAGTCTCTATTATTATTATTATTATTATTATTATTATTATTATTATTATTATCGTTATTATTATTATTATTTTTATTATTATTATTATTATCGCAACTTTTCGGCCCTTTCCGTCAGTATTTTAAGGGGTGAAACGAATGCAGAAAATATTAGCTGTTTTTCTCACTAAAATTGCTCTTTGAATGACACTAAAAACTATTTATCCGTTTAGTAATAATCATTTAAATTTATCAGCTTGATGATAATCATGTAAATTTCATAAGTACTTTAAGTCCTTTGATTTCATATGTGACGTCAAAGCGCGCACTGGCTAGACTGTATCTCGCGTGAATTATTGTCTACGACAAGCCTGCGACGTCGCAGAAACACAACGTCTGCGACACGTTTCATAAAACGGTCGTACGACGTGGTCGCAGACGCACGGCACCGACAATAAAATGTCGCAGACTACGACACGTTGATAAAACGGCCCCCAGGTCTTTGAAAAAGAAACTATTTTTAAAAGAACGAATTAATGTAAAGTCTTCACCCCTCCCCCCGAAAAAAGAAAGACAAACCTTTTGTTGAAACTGTCAATATGTCTGTTTCAGATGAATTTCCCAGTCTGTTAATAGCATATAAAACAACTTGGTACTTTGAACCACTTGATAATTCTGATACTGTATAATTCATCAATGTTTCTCCTGTATCAGGGATTTGAACAACTGTCCACTTTTGTTGTGATTCTTTTCTGTACTTTAAAATGAAAGTTTGCTCTGGTCCATTATCAAATCCAGGCTGCCATTGTACAGTAAATGATGATTCAGTAACAAGCTCTTGTTTATGAATAAAATTTGTTGGCACTTTAGGTTTATCTGAAAATTCAATGCATGGTCTTTAAAATTATTTTTGTATTTAATTTAATTAAATTTATTGCGTTCATTGAACGCCGCCTTTCCTTGTTGATCTTGTTTATCATATTTTATATTGAATATCGGATAATAGCAATTTAATATACAAAACGACTTACGAAAAGCATAAACATGTTTCCTTCACATCTTCAGTTATAAGTAACTCGTCTTAAATATGAATAATTATAAACCATATATAGTCATTGCTTCTGAAATTTTGTGGGATTGGTCACAAATCAATCTATGCACTCTTGCAATAAAATGAAAACACGCTAAGGCCAGAATTGTGTACGCCAAAATTGAAATGATTTAGTTTTTTTTCTTTTTTTTTTTGACAAATCACGATTTCTCTTAGTTGTACAGAGTCTATTTGAACCGCGTCAAAATGAGTAGTATAATGAAAGCTGTGTTCGTTATAGAAACGACTAAGGCATTAAAATGGTTTGATGTGCTATTTTATGCATAAAAGCCCTTTACGGAGCTACCTCCTTCTATTCATATTGTCACAGGTAAATGTATATTTTAGTTTTCGAACAGCTCAAAATTGATACTTTTGCACAGAAAAAAATATCACCACTTTGTGATTCCATGTTTATTTAAAGGAATTACTGGTGAGATATGCGGGTACCTTACCCGACAGGGAGAGCTGCTTTTTGAGTCTTAACAGGCAGATGGACCCTCGTTAAACATATAATACATGCAATAATTTCCTCGAATCAGCCTATTATTTTCCGAATTTCAGTACAAAGGTCATCTTCAGAATGATTATTACAGAGAATTTAGCAGCTTACTACCGAATGTGGTATCGAGTCTGAAATACCTTTTGCTTTAATAGTAAATATTTCTTTTCATCGAAAGGTATTAACAATTATGTTATATCGTACGAAACATCGGAATGACAGAATTTATATTTTAAACGAATTAAAGTAATTTCACCCTTTTAATATCCAATTACTTTTAGTTGGTATTTAGAAAACAATAATGAAATACTTTAGAATTTTCTGCATTTCATAAAAGTAAGCAAACGCTTTTGAACTTGTAAATCAAGCCAGCACAATCTTAATAGAAATGAATGTACTTTTCTAGCACTGGTGTAAATAGTAGATACTCCTGTCTGATATGCAAGTATGCGTACAACACCTCATACCGGAGTATGCTTGAGTCGGCAATTAGTTGCGAAGAATAGTTTAATGGTTAATTTCCCGTTCCTTATCAATTAAATACCTATGTTCCGATGTAAAGTAACAAAATCTAGGGTATATCAAGTCCATTATGGCAAGAATTTCGTCATTTTGCAACTTTGGCCGCTTGCTAGTCGATATTATGTTTCCAAATGGGCGAGTGAATAAGCGCACGGGCAAAATGACGTTGTCAATTTTAAGTGACTTTCAAGATGGCCGCTGCCGTTGAATGAGTTTATCTACTTGCTCACATTTTTTTAAAGACTTCAATAACTGTTCCGAACACAAAACGTGACCCTCATTTGTGTTTCTGATATACTATGCATAGCTAGGTCTCATTAAATATGTGCTGGCTGTTTTGTTCTGATTATAAAATGACTTTTTCTAAATGGTAATTGTTTATAATTATAATTTATAATTGTATATATATAGTACTACATTGGCATTCATATTGACCAATGAATATATTCATCATTTTTTATGGTTTTTGTTGCAGTCTTATATTTTCTAAAAACGACAAGCAGTGCTCAATATATTCCTGTTTAAATTTTTTTGTGAATAAATATTAAATGTTAAAGTACTTTTACCTGCTGGTACTAAATGAAATATCTGTTCAAAGTCCCCTATGGAATTCTTGACAGTAAGCTTGTACATTCCAAATAAAGTCCTGTTAACAATGAGAATTGTTAAATTGGTCTGAAGACCTATTGTATAAGTTTTAAATGTTGCATCATTCAACAAGGGTAGCCATTGTCCATTTGCCTGCCGAAACCATTGGAAGTCATTTTTGGAAGGTACAGGATGTGCCAAGGCCGTGAAAGATAGAACTGCTGACTTATTCTGCTGACTTGTTACATTTGTAAGCAAAGGAGCATGTGGAGACTTTCTGGGAGAACCTAAAACGATATTTATATTCTATTATTCTATATTTTCCTTCTATTTTAAGTTTAATGTTGCACTTTTAAGTGATTACTGAAGTACTGTACTCAATAATTATTTTTTACTTTACGTATAACACATCATCAATAATTATCTGATAACTATTCATATAACGACATAATATACAAAGTTTATTGTTATTTAAGCACGATAAACACAGTAATTTTTTGTAAATGTCCTAACATAAATAATGCTAAACTAAATATATTTTGGGATTTACTAACAATTAACAAAAAATGTTAACTGCTTGAATGATATCTCAGTGTTGTGAGCATTTTTTCCAAAGCATGTGTAGATTCCTGCATCAAGACATGAAGCTGAGGGAAGTACATATTCCAATGTTTTTCTATCTGAACTCGACTGTAGTTGTTGTTCTCCTTTCTTTATAGATATGGAAGATCCTGGATTACTGTCAATATCACAGTGAAAAGAAACTCTGCGTGCCGATTCATTGACAGTCACTGATGTTTTTCCTGGAAACCCGGCCATAAAGAAATCTGTTACTTTTGCCCTATCTTATAAATAGATAATAAATTTTAAAAGTGTGCAAATACAAAATGTTTTGAGACATAAGCATCGAATTTAGAATTACCGTTAATTTAGTGCTAAAAAGGGAAATAACTAGGGAAAATGAATGCAAGAGTTTTGAGTTTTGTCATATTGTCTAAGGAAATGTTAAACATGTGTTTAAACTTGTTTTTATAATGGATTTAGAGTATGTTAGATGCATAACAACTGAAGGAAGTAGCACTGAACGTGCACACAAAGTAGTATTTTAACTTCCATACAAAATACTAATTCATTATATGCATACCGATTGCCTACTGAGCAAAAAAAGCAACAATGTGTATTTCTTTTGAAAGTGTACATAAGACCCAAAATAAAAGGTTTTGAGAAATAAAAATGATAGCAATAATATGGTATAATGGGTCTTTAAAGAGATTGACTTTAACGTGCAAATATCCTTGTGCCACTAAATCAGAATCGGAAAAAAAAAACATCTATATATTTATTATAAACAAGTATGATCTGCTTGCATATATAGTGATGTTACAAAGACATTAAAAGCAATGATACAACTTATAATTGGCAAGTCGAGTTAAAATGCAAACAGCACAACCATGTATTATCTTGACACCCAAACATAATTGTTTTAGCTGTAAAAATGGATTTTATGTTCTAGTTTTAAAAATATGTCACAAAAGTATGACTACTCAAAATTCAATCATAAATGACAGTTTTGATGATTGGATATGACCATAAATGTGCTTTTATGTAAATATTCCGCAAAAGTCTTTGTGTGACTTTGCTCGTTTAGGTACAAACTTGCTCATCATAACAATTATAAAGTATTTTTCCTTCCAGAACATCTTATTCTGTTGACGTACATTTTTTATGAGTGTTTTATTAGTAAATTCTAAGCAATAATACAACACAATCGACCATAAAATCATGGAAACAATATATAATTGTTTGTAATATTCCGTTAGAGATTTAAATACGGTATTGCTTTATACTTTTGATACCATATGTTAAAGATAAGTTATTGCAAGATTTGTCACTGAAAGGCAAAACTATTGGCTTGACATGTCTATCTATGCATTATCATTATCATACCAGGACTTTTGACATTCAATTATGAATGTGGCCTTTTATTACATGTCATCATGATAAGCAGCATATTCATGTAAATGTAATTATTCATTTCAAAGTATAGTATATCTATGAATTACAAAGCTTTGCATATTGAAAGAAGACAATATAATCAAAATTATAACGTTTGCCATAAAGTGTAACCTTGACCTTTGGAATAGGGACATGACTCATATGCCCTACACGTCATCATCATGTTTAACAAAGTATTTTAAAATCCATCCAGGAATTACAGAAATGTTGATCGGACACGACAATTGAATTTAAAGCTGGAGATGTGTCTGAAAGATACTGATGATCCGCTATTAATGTTTGGACACCGAATAATAAGAATAGCAAGGGCAACATACGCCCGTCACAAAAAGTTTTTACAGAAATGTGGGCATTATAAATATGCTTATAGGAGATATTCTCTTGGCAATATCCCAAAAATATCTAGATAATTTATCATAACTAGTGACCTCGACCTTGCAAATATTTAACCTAAATTAGATGTGTCGCACTTCAGTCTTGTAGTCATGAAATTTATCATTTGTGTTTCAATCCATCAATCAATGATGACTAAATGGTCCACGTACACAAACTTTGTCCTCTCTATGTGACCTTGTTTTGGAAGAAGGGACCTGGATTATGTGCGCAATAAGCCTCACAATGCTGCAAACTTGTAACAAGTTATATTCAAACCCCCAATGAATGTAGAAAATCGGCTCTGAACAAGCATTTTTAATGACCTCTAAGCTTAACCTTTAACCTAGAGACTTGGTTCATGCCGATGAAACTGTTCACATAGAGTGAACATTTCTATGAAATTTCATTAAGTAGGAGATTTGCTCCGCGCCGCCCGACAAGCAAAACTCACTGGAAAGTTAAGTCAGTGGCACAAGTAACATTTTTTTTCTCATGAAAATAGGATAACAAAGTCTAATTATGCTGAGTAGTAAATTAAAAAGTTATGGACCGAAAAAGCAAAATTTTTATATCTTTTACCTTCGACATAAGATTATGACCTTGATCTTAAAGGATGTGCAGCTAGAGTTTGTGTCCTGTCTCTAACTTATTCATGCATTATGAAATGAATTGCTACACAGAATCACCATTAACCGACAATATGCTGTGCAAACTGCATGTACGCACCTTTAACATCAAGGTCGTACTTGGATGCTAAGGTAAAATCCTGTCCGGCTCATAACTTTGTCATTACTTGTCATTGTTAAAACATTTCGCATTTATTTTCATCCTTTCATTTTATGTGTCACATGCAAAATTCAGTTTCGCAAATTAAAGGTCAAGGTCTATTTTTGAGGTCAAATTTTAAAACATGTTTGCCGTATAACTCCGTCATTACTTTATTTATTGTCAAATAATTTGGCACATTTCACTATGTCAGTCAGACGGCGTATCATGTGCAAGACTTGTCAATGCCTGCAATTCGAAGGTAAGTGTTTTATTTTTATTTTTAGGTGAAAAGTCAAATTGTGTTAGTTCACTATCCTCTTACAATGTGTTTTTCCTTGATGTAATAGTAAAATAAAGATGTTTGGCAGATTTCTTCACAGGGTCAGATGGTGTGACCCGCGCCACAACATTGTCTAAGAGAAATATGTATATAAATGTTGCAACGTCTATTGTTTAATTTTATAATAATTTATAACCTAGATAAAGGCGTAAGCAAAAACATTGATTAGAAAAAAACAAGTTTTTATTTGTGTTTTGGTTGATCTCTTTGTCATAAAAGTCAAAGTACGTGCTACAGTTAGAGTTTTGAATAGTTACCAAATGCAAGTTTCAAGTGGATACCTTTAGTTATTTTGTAGAATGCTTTTGCCTTAGTTCACAAAGCACCATTGTGCTGTCAAATTCATGCAAAAATTTATTGACCTTATGATCTTAAAGACATGCCATGAGTGAAAACCTTCAGTAGTTTTTTGAAGATTGCTGGTGCTGATAATATTTAGCAAAATCTTTTATAAAGAAAAAAAAAATATACATGTAGATTAATAACCAAATGTATTAAAATCTAATTTGGCATGTTTGTAGAAATAAACATGTTTGATATAGACTGACCAAAAAGTTAATACGAAAAATAACTTTTGTTAAATATGTTTTTGGAAAAATAAATCTGACTGTCAAATTTTCCTGGGAAGAGCTATTTCAGGTCATTAGCAAACAAACGTGTGAGTGTTTATATCCCATAGAGGGAGCAGACGATAAGAAACCAAAAACATTTTGCTAATCTAACTTTATCAAATTAATACAAACAGGCTTAATGATCCAATAATGTGTTTATACATCCAAAATACTGATGTTAACTTCTATTTCAATAAAGTAACTTTTTGAATTACATTTTTGTTGTAAATATATTGTAATCATAAATGAAGTTCAAAGTCAGTTATAAAGTTGGTTATGTTACTTAAAATATTATATATCTGTTAACAAAATTATTAGCAGAATGTTGGTGAATAATGTCACATGTAAAACATTTCCATTTTGTTTTGAATACTTTAGTTCTGCTAACATTTACATTTCAATCCTTGGTGTATATATATTTGGAATTATGTTTATGCTATAATTCAATATTTTAATACACCATCCACGAAAAATAAGAAATATTAGATTCAACAAGTATTTTGCTTTTGGCCTTCAGTTACATAAGTCATATATCTTTTTTAATACGAGTCATTGTATTTTAATATAATTTTGAACAAAATGTTAAGTCAGATCATTAAAGTTTTAACATTTATTCTGCACTTTTCTCTTTCAAATCAAACAGAAACTACATGTAGTATATTCATTGTGAGTTGGAATTCCGCTTGACAGGCCATATAATTTGCTATGTGCAATTATATCTGTGACTGTGTCATGATGAAGTTTTGAGAGATTAAAATGCTCCAGCAGTAATTACAAATTAAATCTGAAGCTTACATTTATCATTATTATGTTTGTGATTTTATTATCAAAGTCAGATATGTAATTTAGTTATAAATACGAATCCTTCAAGAATCCACCGAATTTCTGTAGGGGGGGGGGGGGGGGGGGTGGGAGCAGAGGAAAATTAACACTGACTGCAAAGATAATATCTGGATAAGGTGGCGGGAAAATTACTTTACTCAGTCTGAATGCATTTTAATAAAACATAATGAGGCCGTCACGTCAGCGTTCTACGACGTTTGTGGAAACGTTGTTAGTCACCCATGGTTACTGGGATAGCGCCAGAAGAACTTTGTGTGAACGCAAGTAAACGCTAGTCGGAAAAAAAGTTTTAAACATGCACAGAAGTTCTTACTCAGACCAGCATTCTTCAACGTTTAAATTTCAAATGCTAAAGAACGTTTAAGAACGTTTAATTAACTTTCGCCGAGCGTTGCACACGTTTGACTATCGTTATTCAGCCGTCACTCATATCGCCACTTGGTTGTTTCTTATCGATTGCTGTGAACGACTCACTGGCGACTTATTAGCAACCTGTCAACGACTTCTTAACGGTATTCAAGCGCACGAAACGTGTTACAAAAGGTAAACGAACGTCATTTTGGCATTCACTGAGCGTCATTTGAGCGGCATTTTTGGCCGTTTCACGAATATCCATGCAAATTAAAAAAATGTTCATTTGATTTCAGAGAAGACCTACTATGGAAAATCCTAAAAGAGTGATTAGGCTATATATGTTTGCTATAGCCATACATCAAGTAGGTGTACTTAATTCATAGCTGAACATACAAGGGAATTCATCCGCAGAGAAGAAGACCCCGAGAAAGACGACAGTATTGCACTTAATCATGAATATAAAGACGTCAAGGATTCGGAAATACAAAATGCATGCAGTATAAGAAGCCCTAACCCCAAACTTTTTGTTTTGGCACCATGATGTTGACTGTTCAAACTCACAAGAACAACTGAATTCGCTATGAAATTTCCAGCGTTCTGTACCCGTTTAGCCGTAAAAATTACACGCCAACTAGTCACTATTCTGTCGTTATTTACGCGTTAGTCACACGCGCACAACACTCGTCGCTCAAATAGTTCGTCCAACGCCAGTGGCACGTAAGCACACGTTTATAGGTTTTAGAGGTATCATAATTGGTCGCAGTTACTTTAAGTCAACTGATGAGTAACACCTACAAAAACTTGATTTCGAGGCAGCGAATGATGCCATTAAAGTGATTATTTCAAGTTTTAGACACAATGCACATGACAAGTATTTTCAAACATGAAGAACTATCACATTTTAAATGTTACAGATATAATATATAATTAATTTGCAAAATGTCACTTCATGAATATTTACTAGATCAAATAGCTTGTTTAAAGATTAAAAATTATTGAAAATTACAAAATACGAGGGTTGTTCGGAAAGTTTTGAGACAATATGATTTTCTCTGTTTCTAATTACAGCTGCGAATATATATTATTTAATACAAATTATAGCTTAATATGTTATTTATCCGAGTTATGTCTTTAAAACGTTGTAACGTTACTATACGGCATATAATCGTTTCCATAGCAACACCTGTCTACGCATCCTGGCGCACGGACTATTTTTCTTGTTATAAGTTTTCTTACTGAATAAAAAGAGCCCCTAAAATTGCGCCAAACGTCATGAAAATTTTATGACGTCACTTCCAACTTAAGGACGTCATTTCCGCTAGTTGTTTAAGCCGTTACCGCAGATCATTATAGCAATACGTGCGCGACAAGACAACGACTATGGAAACACGGTCAAAAGAGGAACAGCGTGTTTTTATTAAGTTTTGCGTTAATCTTGGGAAAACGCCAACAGAAACTAAGCAACTTCTAGAACAGGCAAACAACGGACGTACTGTTAGTCGACCATTGGTATTTAGATGGCATAAAAAGTTTCGGGATGGCAGAAAGTCAACAAAAGACAAGGAAAGGAGCGGTCGCCAATCCGTCATCGACGATAAACTGGCACTTGCAAGAAACGCGCTTCAGTGCGACCGATCCGGTTTGAGGACCTAGTTGAACTAGCATTATTGCAACATTTTAATCTGACTGGTATAGAAATGTATTCGCCAAGTGGGTTACGAGGCATTAGAAATGTGTACGTTGTGAAGGAAGATACTTTGAAAAGGAGTAGCAGTTGACTTTTCTACGGTGACGTTAAACTCTGGAAATAACGGCAACGTCGGATAACGTCGTTGCGTGCGCCGGGTCACCGGTAGTGTCTGTGCCTAACGCTTTGTAGCTTTTGTATACATGAAGCTATTATTATGAAATTTTACACTATAATAGATGAGGTATTAAAGTAATACATAGTAAACTCTTGTTTGATTTTATCTTTTCCAACGCTAAATATTGACCCAGTCTCAAAACTTACCGAACAACCCTCGTATCATATAGCCTTTACTAAAGCTATACTTGTAATATGCCGTACAAAGTAAGTATACCTTACTTACACCAAACATTCAGATAGAAACTTTGACTGTCTTCGCCTTTTGTTGCTGTTTGTTCTCCTGTTTGTTTCATTAAATTATCAGCTGTACAAGTGTAGTATCCAGCATCTGTCCTTGACACATTTGGTATTGTTAACATTTGACTACTCAGTACTGTATTATCACTTTTAAGCCATTTAGTTGTAGTTTCTTTGGGGTTGCCAACTTTAACCGTGCAATTATAGTCAAAAGGTAAACCTTCAGCAATACTTCTGTTGGTCAACATTCCAACATCCGGAGCATCTAAACAGATTATTGTTATTTTTATAATTATCGAAAAGTAAATCATTTTTAACCAATCCTCAGAGCAATAAAAAGTAGTTCCTTTGGGAAAAACATTAAATATTATGAAAAATCAAAATCCTGGAAAGTAGTATGTTAAAGAATTTATGTCAAGATTAAAGATTATTGTGATAAAGAATCTGATACAATTGAGTTACTGAGTAAAATATCAAGCAAATTAACTTCACTTAGATGCTTAAAAATAATTATAGAAGATTTACATGCAATGCAGTCATTAAGTAAAAGTAAGAAAATAATTACACAGAATGTTCAACTCAAAACTCTGAAAGTTTCTCCCATAAACAACTTTTTCTGGATTTCCAAATGTCCGTTTCATAATATTTTCAGCTTTGCAGTTGTAGTTTCCAGCTTTTGATCTGTCCAGATTTTTCAATGTCAGTATAGGTGAAGATGGTGTTATATTTTTCCAGACGATGACTGGTTCTGGCATACTGTTTGATTCACATGTGACAGTAAATGCTGTTGGGTTATATTCACGTACAGATAGTGAATTAGTGAATAAATTGTTTGATCCATCCCCATATTTATATTTCAAGGTAGGATTTGTTGGTGAATCTGCAATTTTACACAAATAATAGCACATAAAATACCTTGAAAGTAAATAAACTAAATCATAAAGATGATTTTATTTATTTTTCAATAACATAGTATATATTTAAATATACAGTAAAGTCTCGCTTTTTGACGGATCCTAAATTGCTGGCAAATCGATATTATAACCGCTTTATCCAGTCCCGATTTTTTGCCTATATAATTCAAAGTTAGGAAGTCCCGAAATTACAACCGACCTGCTACTACCTATTACAACCGCTTTTAAAGGTCTTAATTCTCACTAAACAATACAGGGGCTCAATAAAACAACCACTAATTAACCCTGTTTTTTAAATTGTACGTGTCGCCCATTATCTCCAATAAACAAACAATTTTACAACAACACTTAACAACAACTGCCATGAAGGTGTAAACGATTTGTGTTACACAGAATAGACGTTTAAAATATCAATTAACAGTTTAAAATTAAACTGATTATATCAATGAGATAAGTCATGTGTCAATGCTTCTTTCAATTTATTATTTTGGATTGATGCAAATCGAAGAAAGATGACTGATGTGTAAATAATACACTTTCGGATGGGCATGTTAGTATGTCTGCGTTAAATAAAAAAAGTTATTTACAATCTGGAGTCAGAACTTTTACCTTTTGCGAATTTAATATCAGTTCTATCATAAAGTCTGTCTTTGAAATAAAACTGAGAATCAAAAACGGATAAGAATTAATTCAGAACAAAAAATAAAATTGATTCATGAAGTTTTAAACGGCGATAGCAATATACAAGCAATACTTAAAATAAATAATTTTCTTGTCACAAACACCTTTCTTTAACATTTTAAAACTCTTTTTAAAACTTATACTAGAACTATCACTAAATGTGATTAATACCCCTACAAGACTGCTTCGGAAATGAGGATGCTACTAGTAACAGGTTACCTTGTAAAAGAATTGAAATATAGAGTTGTGGTTGTGGGCAATTAAAGATAGTTGTGGTTCTTATATGTTGCATTTCCTTTCAATGAGGTTGGCCATTGATGAAGTTTAATTGAATTACTCTGTAATAAGTCCAGAAAGACAAAGAAAAGAAACAAAGGGCAATAAATACTGAAGATAGAGTAATAGTTCTTGTGCACTGCACTTCCTCTTATTGTGCTTGACCATTGTATGAAGTTGTTTTGAATTCCAACCAGTACGTTTTAAGTTATGCTCCTGACAAGGAAAAGTATCAAAGGGAAGTAACTCTGTATTTTGTCAAAATGGAGTTGTGGCTCTTGAGCACTGCACTTCCTTTTAATGTCCTTGACAACTGTATGAAGTTGTATTGAATTCCAAACAGTAGTTTTCAAGTAATGCTCTGGACAAGGAAAAGTAACAAAGGGCAATAACTCTTTAATTAGTCAAGATGCAGTTATGGTTCTTGTGCACTGCACTTTCTCTCAATGTGCTTGACCATTTTATGAAGTTATATTGAATTCCAACCATTAGTCTTCAAGTTATGGTCCAGAAAAAAAAGGCAATGGAAAAGTAACAAAGGGCAATAACTCTGTAATTACTTTAGATAGAGTTATGGTTCTTGTGCACTGCACTTCCCCTTATTGTGTTTGACAATTGTATGAAGTTGTTTTGAATTCCAACCAGTTGTTTTCAAGTTATGCCCCGGACAAGGAAAAGTAACAAAGGGCAAAAACTCTTTAATAAGTCAAGATAGATTTATGCTTCTTATGCACTGCACTTCCTCTCAATGTGCTTGACCATTGTATGAAGTTATATTGAATTCAAACTATAAGTCTTCAAGTTATGGTCCAGACAAAAAAAAAGCAATGGAAAAGCAACAAAGGGCAATAACTCTGTAATTACTTTAGATAGAGTTATGGTTCTTGTGCATTGCAATTCCCCTTATTGTGTTTGACAATTGTATGAAGTTGTTTTGGATTCCATTCAGTAGTTTTCAAGTTATGCCCCGGACAAGGAAAAGTAACAAAGGGCAATAACTCTGTAATTAGTCAAGATAGAGTTATGGTTCTTGTGCACTGCACTTCCTCTCAATGTGCTTGACCATTGTATGTAGTTATATTGAATTCCAACCATTAGTCTTCAAGTTATGCTCCGGACAAGGAAAATGCAACGGACGTCTTGTCCGACCGACCGACCGCCTGACCGACCGACCACCGGGTGTCTCCTATATACCCCCCCCCCAAACTTCGTTTTTGGGGGTATAATGATTGTTTCTATAATTATTTTGAATTTTACAATTAAGAACAAAAGAAGTTACTTACACATAACATGAACAGTTAATGTTGATGTGGAAGTTCCTCTGATAGGATTTGAAGTAGAAGGTACAGTTTCTCTCATTGTATTTCTAACCTCACATTTATACATGTGATCTTGTGGATTAGCAGTAATTGATGAAACAGTAAGTATTTGATTGTTTCCACGTGTATCCCATTGGTAAAGTTCTGGGTCTGGCTTACTGTCTGACAGACAGGCAACTTTAACATGATCATTCTGTATAACATTAAGCACTTTGTTTGGTATAGTTGCTCCTGTGGTATTCCAGTATTGAAATGACGGTATCGTAGGAGGGTCTAGCAAAGGAAGTTATGTACATGGATGTTAAAAATGAACACAGTTAATACAAAAAGAAGATAGGGCTAAATATATTTTCTTCAAGTGTTTGGAGAGAAAATTTAAATTCAAAAATATAAATTCTCAAAAATAAATAATGTTAAAACTGGTAAAGTAGTCACAATCTTATTGATATAAGAACAGGTTGATAAAAGACATGTTAATAAGTTGTTTTTATATACTGACATACAGTTTGATTCTTAAGACTGAAAGATCTTAATATGTATTTCATTTAATGTGTTCATAAACTGAAATCAAGAGTGCATAGCCGAATAGCATATGATATTTTTATACAAAGAAATGGAATCTCTGAAAAGAAATATACTGTAAAACTTCTTTTCCACTCATAATAATGATATCTATTGTGGTGTTTTATCTGTTGTACATAAACAAACAGCAATCAACACTTAGAGAAGCAATCTATTTCAAACAATTGTCCTTTTTCAATGACCTTGACATTTGACCAAGAACCTGGTAAATGCCTGTAATACAGCTTCTTATAGTGGTGAACATTTATATGAAGTTTTAACAAGATATGTTTGTAAAACATTATGCCCCCTATCGGCAGCTAATTAGTCATTTGATCAGGCTATTATGCATGACTTCTAACCCAGTGAACAGACAATTAATAAGGGTTATCAGTTATCTAGTATCTACTGGTCATGACTAGTCACAAGGTAATAATAATTGTGACCCCATAGGTTGTGTGAAGCAATTTAAGTTATTACAAATCTTACCAAATAATATATGCATAAATTTTATGAATCATGTAGGCCTCATTAATGACAGCCAATTTGTTATATTACATAAGACCTTCAAATGTGTATACCAAAAGCATTTTTAGTTTAATATAAAAATATCAACCAAGGCAACTTGAGTTGCTGAGTTAATGGTCAGAAACCGTGATTAAGTACAAGATCAATATGACATTGACCCCTTGACCCCAAAATCAATAGGGGTCATCTACTGGTCATGACCAATCATCATACAAAGTTTGAAGTTCCTAGGCCTAAGCATTCTTTAGGTATTGATCGGAAACCGTTTTTACCTACAATGTCAATGTGACCTTGACCTTGGACCCCTTGACCCCAAAATCAATAGGGGTCATCTGCTGGCCATGACCAATCATCATACCAAGTTTGAAGTTTCTAGGCCTAAGCGTTCTTTAGTTATTGATCGGAAACCGTTTTTACCTACAAGGTCAATGTGACCTTGACCTCTGACCCCTTGACCCCAAAATCAATAGGGGTCATTTGCTGGCCATGACCAATCACCATATCAAGTTTGAAGTTCCTAGGCCTAAGGGTTCTTTAGTTATTGATCGGAAACCGTTTTTACCTAAGAGGTCAATGTGACCTTGACCTTTGACCCCTTGACCCCAAAATCAATAGGGGTCATTTACTGATCATGACCAATCACCATACCAAATTTGAAGTTCCAAAGCCTAATGGTTCTTTAGTTATTGATCGAAAACCGTTTTTGTTTACAAGGTCAATGTGACCTTGACCTTTGACCCATTGATTCTAAAATCAATAGGGGTCATTTACTGATCATGACCAATCACCATACCAAGTTTGAAGTTCCTAGGCCTAAGGATTCTTTAGTTATCAATCGGAAACCATTTGGTCTACGGACCGACGGACCGACGGACCGACAAGTGCCCTCTTCTTCGAAGTGGGGGCATAATAAAATCCCTCCATGTGTGGGCCCGTCTGCCAGCCAGGGGCATTCCTTTTATACAACCAGTTTTTCAAATGAGCATATAAAAACTAATCACACTAATCGAATAATAATCTAATTGTCCAGTAAAAACTTACATAAAACTGCAAAACGTAATGATGATGAGTTTTTTCCAGATACAGTACTGCCATCTGATGGGTTCATTGAATTCTCTACTTCACATATAAACTGATCACCATCCTGTAAGTTATTAGTTGTCAATGTGGCTCCTGTTGTTGTTGCAGAGTTATGTTTCCATGTGTACTGAATTTGATTTGGCTGACCTGTACTTTTGCATGTTATAGATACTTGATTATTTTTGATGACCTTCACTGTACCAACAACTTTTGTGTTTTTTATTGTAAACTCTGGTATTGTTGGAGGATCTGAAATGTCATTAGAACTTTTTTTCCAGATTAGGTATCCTTACAAACAAATTTATTAAATTGATAGTGATATCCCTGACAAAATGATATAAATAACCTAACTTAAATTTGTATAAGTAAATATTTTTTACACAAGAAAACAGTGAAAATAAAGTTTTGCATATGTACATGTACTGATACAAAGACCGCAAAACTTTCGAGAAAAATAGCTTTAATGGTAAAGGACATTCTTTTTGCGATGTCTCGACAGTAAGATACACATGTATTATATCTTTATTAGTTAACGTCATTTGAGCGTTATGTTAATGTCTGTAACTATAACTATAACTACAACAATTTATGCTAGAATGCAAGTACCGTATATCAGTTATTTCTACATACATAAATGATGTAATAATATATAATGATAAAAATCATTGATAAAAGGGCGTGCAGGTGCAAAACATAATTAAAACATTTTCTTTTAAATATTTGGCAACGTTATTTACTAGAAAAACAATTATCAATTAATTTAACGTATAACATCGTGTCATAAAATCACTACCTAGATCCTAATATCTAAAACAATTACAGTTATATATACATCAAATTGTAAGCATTTGTAAATTATAATTATGATGAACAAATAATTAACTATTATGAATTTAAATATAAACGTTCCCTTTTAATCTACATAGCGCCACAAAAATAAATGAAGTTTTAAATAATATTTGATGAGCATAACTTCTTAATAATTGAGTACATCTATGCTCAGATCCATAAAAATCTAACCAGTTGCTTGTAAAAATGTAATTTGAAATTCCCCCTTAAAAACCTGTTTTTTTATAAAACTGCGTGAGCAGTTCTTTTACGAAAACGAGTATACATGCATAAAAAAAAATGCGCACACCTGTATACAATAACCGAGAATTTCTCGTGACCACGCGCCGTGGGGCATCCATGGCCGAGTGTTTATGGTCGTATAATTCAAACCACTTGCCTTTTGGCTCTGTGGGTTCAAGTCCCGACAGCGACTTTGCATTTCTTCATGTGAAAAAGCTATCAAACTAGTTTACGGAACGTTGGTGGTTTTACTCAGGTGCCCGTTCGTGCCAAAAATAATGCACGGAAGGGCACCTGAGGTCTTCCAACACCAGTAAAGCTGGAACGGTGACATATAAAATATATGTCATACTGTGTCGGTATGACGTAAAAACCCAAACAAACAAACAAAACACGTGCCGTTGATGCATGTTTTCGATATAAGTGACCCAGGGCGCAATGTAAAACCAGCGTTATGCAATGGCGGTCCTAGTTGATTTATTATCTAATAATAACTGAAAAATGTTTTCTCTAGCAATTTGAAAGCATGGCATAACTTTTTCTTTAGAAGAAATACAGATAACGTAGCGTGAACGTGAATGATACGGAATACCGTTAGGACCATCGCGGATATGCGTTAAAATACAGAGGGCGAAAATGCGATAGTGCGAAAGTGAGATGACGACAATACAATAGTTTGATGGCGACAATGCGACAGTATGATGGCGACAATGTGAAAACGCGATAGTACGATGACGACAGGGCGATAGTGTTATCGCACTGTCGCCATCGCATTGTCGCATTGTCATCATCGCACTATCGTATTGTAGTCATCGCACTGTCGCACTATTGCATTGTCGTACTGTCGTCATCGCATTATCGCACTGTCGCCATCGCGTTATTGCATTGTCGACTATAACCTTCCAACGAATAAGCTGACGGTATAGAATATAGAAAAATAATTCTGCTTTTGTCAATAAATCTATTTCTTCTTGTTTTTTCTTTTCCTTATATTATTGTTTTGTTTCTTTCTTGTCTGTTTACTAAAAACGGTTAAAGGAAGTTATAAATTAATAATAAGTTACATTTTATATCAAAGATAGGAGAATACTTAAAGAGTTATACAGAAATGTAATTTTAAAATAGTCGAAATATTTCAGATGAAAATGATGTAATGTTGACATTGATAAGATGCAAAAATGATTGTTTATTACTTATTTAAGAAAGACAAAAAATTTATATTTATATGTTATATAGAAAAAATTGTACAAAAATAGAATTATGTAATGCAAAATGATAATGATATAATGAAATAATGTAGATTTGATTATATGTATATAAAATTATATTTAATTGGTCAGTAATACATAATTTTCTCGACAAAAATACAAAGATAGTTCATGATTAGTTAATCCAACTCGTCAGCACTGGTCACTATTAAAGTACTACTAAAAGTAATATCTATTAAATTGTAATTGGTATTCAGTGGTTTTATTGTTTTGTAAGATTTTGAATTCATTACATTACTTTCGTTGTTCAAAAAAGAAAATATGAAATTTACGTCAACGCATAATTTTCTCTATAAATATCTAACATTATGCAAAATAATAAAAATTCCTAACATTTTAATAACCCATTTGATTGATATAAAAATATCGACGAAGTGCTGCAGTATGCCTTTACCTTTAAAAAATGCACCTGGCATACTGCGTAACCCCTTCCAACGCAGTATGCCATATTGCGGCAGTAAGCCTTTAAAGGTGCAGCAGTATGCTATATGCGGCAGTATGCCATCCATAAGGCATACTGCCGCATATAGCATACTGCGTCGCGACAGTGGTCAGTAATTTTCAGTATCAGTTTAACTTAACATCAGATTCTACTTTAATTTTAACTTAACAGCAGATTCTACTTTAAGTTTAACTGGTCAACACATTGTACTATAGCCAACTAATTCCTCTGGTTGATACTAGCGCTGTCTCAAAATAATACTGTAGAAGTAAAGCTTACATATCTACAGGTCTGCATACCAAAATCATCAAGATCTGAGATGTTGTCAAATTTCGATCGGAAAGTAGCAAGCTACCTATAATATGTTTGTTTCTTAATAAGTGTTTAGTTCCAAGTATACATCAAATCCGTTTATAAATAACAAAGTTAAAACAATTCAAAAATTCAATATTTGACGGTCAAATCAATGCCAGGTATTTTTTTTAATTTTTCAATATGTTTGTTCGGTCACAAATGTTTTTTTTTTCTCTAGGTATATATCACATACGTACAAAAATAACAAAGTTATCAAAAGCTTAGCTTCATATAATATATGATATAGAAGATCAAGGTCATTATTTATTAGTCAAGATTATTTTTGAATACTTAAAATGTAAGATTTGAGTTAAGTGCTCTTTTGACCAACTTCAAATCAAATCCATAACATTAAAGAAATGGTTAGATAAAATTCAATAATTTTACCATAAGTGTCAAGGTCAAATTAATGTAAATGTCGCGCCCAATTAATTCTTCCTTAAGTATTTGTCCAGAGATTCGTTGTACCTTCCATTAACAACCCGTTTATTACTCGAAAGTTAATCCAGTAAATATTGCAAAAACTGTGAAGTTATTTGACCTTCAACGCCAAGGTAATATATGACACAAGGTCAAAATGAGTTAGATTTTCCTAATAACATTGTCCTTACGGTAAAAGTATGCAGGCAATGAATTTATAGATAATATAGTTTAAGCCAACTGTAGCAACAGTCAAGCAGAATTTAATAAATCGTGGATGAGTAAAGTTAAAAACTAATAACTGCTACTTGAAGGACACACACGCATGCTCACACACACAAACACCCATACATGTAGGCACGCACGCACGCACGCACACACACAACACACACACCAAGGCACACACACGCACACACATACATTAAGTATTTCCTAATTGAAACTAACGCAAAGAAATGTCACTGTTCAGAACGGTTCACTATTTAGGGGAAATGGTGTGTAAGTGGCGGATAACTCAGTCGGTAGATGGTGTATGGTATTTCAGGGTTCCGTGTCCGAGTTTTTTTAAGAAGAGACATCTAAGAATTTATAATGTATCAATAATGGTTTAAGAAAATATATTATGCTTGTTACCTGTAGAAACTACCGATAAATATGAAATAATTTGCCATAGAAGTAGCAAAATGTAAACAAAGGAGTGTAGTATTTGTAGTGTACTTCAATGCAAATAAAATTTCATCATAACTGTAGTTATTGCCAAAAAAGCAACATATGAAAAAGAATGTTCAGTTTATTGCTCAATAAATAACGTTACGGAATTATTAAAAGTACAAACACAAGAAAAATAGGAAAAAAAACATTTCTGAGGTACAATGCGCCCTTCAAATCCGACGCATCAGTGTTGAGATAACTTTGCATAAAATGCATAAATAATGTTACATTTTCTAAAGGCCATATATCAATAACGCAAGAAAATTGTTAAGAAGTAATTAATGCTTTTTAGGAAACTCAAGACCATAACTCAATAACCCATAATCATGCCAGTCTCTTGAAGGAATGTCAGATGTTCGTTTTTATAGATAAACACCTGACTGAGTAGATAAAACCAGAAACAGTTACCGATACCTATTACGAGTATTTGTTTGTGGGACGTCTTTCTTCAGAGACAAGTGTTCAAAATTTTTATACTTACTGGCAGCGGATAATGGTTATGACTGCAATTTATTGTCTAGAATTTATTGGATATTAGTAATAAAACTTACACAGAACTTCAACTTTAACAGTCACTGATTGTGATCCAGACACAGGATGAGAAGACTGACATGTACATGATCGATCTTGTCCACGTTGTACGGTAAATGTGACTGTCGTTTTAACAGATGTTCCAACGGTTGAAGCTGTCCCTGCATTAAAGCAAGACCATGATAATGTTGCAAGTGGATTCCCTCCATTGATTGAGCAAGAGAGTATACGTTGTCTGTTTTCTATAACGTAACATGTCTCACTGTCACTGAAGCCTTGAATTTCAGGAGGACCATCGGGTGAATCTGAGAAACAAATATTGTTTGTCAATGCATTACCTTTATCACGAAAATAATGTTTCTTTATTACAATTGAATATAAACAAAACAATCTATTCTCAGCAGAAGTGAAGTGTCTTGCTTTCCCAAAAGAAGGAAGAACTGTTTGTTACGTACTCATTCAAAACTTTACAGGCAGTAAAATCGTTAAGAATTGTTTGACTGCTCTCACATAATATTCAAAATAGTTCTTTAATCAATAAATACAAAAGCACTACCACTACCACTACCACCACCACCACAACCACTACCACTACCACCACCACCACTACCACTACTACTACTACTACTACTACTTACTACTACTACTACCACTACTTCTACTACCGCTACTACTACTACTACTACTACTACTACTACTACTACTACTACTACTACTACTACTACTACTACTACTACTACTACTACTACTACTACTACTACTACTACTACTACTACTACTACTACTACTACTACTACTACTACTACTACTACTACTACTACTACTACTACTACTACTACTACTACTACTACTACTACGACTACTACTACCACTACCACTTCCACTACACTACCACTACAACTACTACCACTACCACTACTACCACAACTACTACTACTTACTACTACTTAACTACTACTTACTACTACTACTACTGCTGCTGCTGCTCCTGCTACTGCTACTGCTACTACTACTACTACTACTCCTACTCCTACTCCTCCTCTTACTCCTCCTCCCCCTCCTCCTCCTACTCCTACTACTCCACTCCTACTCCTACTACTCCTACTACTACTACTACTACTACTACTACATACTACTACTTCTACTACTACTACTATTTCTACTATTTCTACTTTATACTACTACTACAACTACTACCGCAACTACTACCACTACCACCACTACTACCACTACCACCACTACTACCACCACTACTACCACCACTACCACCACCACTACTACTACTACTACTACTACTACTACTACTACTACAACTACTACTACTTCTACTACTACGACTACTACGACTACGACTACGACTACGACTACTACGACTACTACGACTACTACGACTACTACGACTACGACTGCTACTGCTACTGCTACTGCTACTATTACTACTACTACTACTACTACTACTTCTACTACTACTAATACTACTACTACTACTACTACTACTACTACTACTACTGCTACTACTACTACTACAACTACTACCACTGCTACTACTACTACTACCACTACTTACTACCACCACTACTACTACCACTACTACCACCACTACTACTACTACTACTTACTACTACTACTACTACCGCTACTACTACTTCTACTACTTACTACTTCTAATACTACTTACTACTTCTACTACTACTTAATACTAATACCACTACTACTTACTACTACTACTACTACTACTACCACTACTACTTACTTCTACTACTACAACTACTACTACTACTACTACTACCACCACTACTACAACTTCTACTACTCAATACTACTACTACTACTACTACTACTACTACCACTACCACTACTACTACCACTTCCACCACTACTATCACTACCACCACTACTACCACCACTACTACTACTACAACTACTTCTACTACTTAATTCTACTACTACCACTACTTCTACTACTACCACTACTACAACTGCTACTACTACTACCTCTGCTACTACTAGCACTACTTACTACCACCACTACTACTACCACTACTACCAACACTACTACTACTTACTACTACTACTACTACTTACTACTTCTAATACTACTTACTACTTCTACTACTACTTAATACTACTACCACTACTAATTACTACTACTACCAATACTACTTACTACTACTACTACTACTACTACTACTACTACTACTACTACTACTACTACTACTACAACTACTACTACTACTACTACCACTACTACTACTACTGCTACCAATACCACTACCACCACTACTACCAGTACCACCACTACTACTACTTCTACCACTACTACTACTTCCACTACTTACTACGACTACTACTACTACTACTTCTACTACCACAACCACTACCACTACCACCACTACTTCTACTACCGCTACTACTACCACTACTACTACTACTACTTACTACTAGTACTACTACTTACTACTTCTAAAACTACTACTTCTACTACTTCTACTACCGCAACTACTACCACTACTACTTACTACTACTACTACCAATACCACTACCACCACTACTACCACTACCACCACTACTACTACTATTACTACTACTACAACTACTTACTACTTCTACTACAACTACTTAATACAACTATTACCACTTCTACTACTACCGCTACTACTATCACTACTACTTACTACTACCACTACTTCTAACTATTACTACTAGTACTACTACTACAACACTACAACTACTACTACTACTACTACTACTACTACTTACTACTAGTACTACTACTACTTCTACTACTTTTACTTACTACTACTACTACTACTACTACTACTACTACAACTACTACTACTACTACAAATACAACAACTACTACCACTACCACCACCACTACTACCACTAAAACCACCATCACCACCACCACTACTACTTCCAACACTACCACCACCACCACCAGCACTACCACTACAACCACCACTACTACTACCACTACTACTACTACCACCGCCATCACCACTGCCACTTCCACTACTACCACTACTACTTCAACTACAAATACTACTACTTCTACTACTTCTGCTACTACTGCTGCTGCTGCTACTACTGCAACTTCTACTTCCACAACTACTATTACTACTTCTTTCTGCCACTACTTTTATTTCCTACCACTACCTACTTAAACTACAACTACCACTACACAACCTATATCCATCACAACCTACTACCACTTCTACCACTTCCACCAACAACAACAGCACCACTACCAGCACCAGTACAACTACCACCAGCACCACTTCCACTACCACCACTACTACTTCTACTTCCATACGACTGAAGAGAAAATTCTGTAGAGAAGAGAGCACATCCACAGAGAAGAAAAAGCAAAGCAATGAAATCAAACGGTGTATGAAACAATACAAAATTAATAAGTAAGAACAGTTTATAACACAGTTCACAGGGTAAGATTTTATGTAAATTATTCTCCTTTTTGCACCTGAAATATCTTACGACAATCATGCGAAACATCTAACAACAACCAAAGCAGTTTGAGATGGGTATCTTTTTAGCTATACTATACAGACTGATCGGTGATGAACGTATTCGCCGTTGTTGCAATACGAATGTAAGTTCTTAAGGTTTGTTTACACATTTTTATTCCCGGAAGTATATTTAACGTACATACAAATAAACAACAAACAAAATATGTTTACATAATGGCAAAGGATAAGAATGAAAGACAAGTCTTATAGAATTCTTATCCTTTGGAGAATTATATGGTTTGTCTTAAATAAGTTGATAGTTAGGATCAGTATGAATATAAACAAAACAATCTATTCTCAGCAGAATGTTTTTTATTATAACTATTTTTGTTGGAAATGACTAAAATCCAGATATATATATATATATATATATATATATATATTAACACGCTACACTATTCTCCGCTTCGTTCGGTATATGTTGCTTGCACAACTATTTTAAAAACGACACATAAAGCAATATGAACTGCGTCGTATCCACACATTTTCACAAAAATTCTGCTCCGCTTCGAGTTGCAAGTTCGCTATAACTTTTGTTTTACAATATAGTTGTGCCGAACGAAGCGGAAATAATGTAGCGTGTTAATACATATATCTGGTATTCAGTCATTTCCAACAAAAATAGTTATAATCAAAAACATACGTTTTCGTTCAAAGATGGCGGCGTTTGTTTTCATTTTGTAGGATACGACGCAGTTTTGATTCCCAGCCCTGAGGATAGACTAGAAAAGGAACAACTACAATAGATATATTTTTATTTCTAAACTTATTTACAGTAGATTTACTATAAGAAATCTAAAATAAAAGAATATATATAAAAGAAGAAAACAAAATAGTGGGAAAGGGAAGAAAGAGGATAAGAAAGGATTATAGTCTGATAAAGAATGAATCTAAATAATCTTATAAATCTTTTCGTTTTTTCTATATAATTTTGTACACATGTGTACATATAATAACGTTGTCCTAGTATGTAAGAGATGGGTCACCATTGAGAAGCTTATGAAGGTTTATGCTGAAGTCTGGCAAGTTAAACAGGAGTATTTTGCACAGCACTCGAAAAAGAAATGTTTGGAAGTTTCAATTTGCCCACAATTACATAAAAGGGCAAGAGAAATGTTTTTAAAAATGTGGTATTTTAATGCGCTGCAGTTCGTTTGAAGCCGTGTGTGAAGGACCTGCAGTTTACGACTACCTGTATGAAAGTATTTTGGTGTATATTGCCTGTCCTTGTTTAAAAAAGTTTAAAATGAGGATATTGTAGGGCTGTTCCGTATTATAAATGTTAAATTGTTCCAATCACGAATTACTTATGGGAAGAAAGAAATATGGTACAGAGTGGTCCTTGATGCAATTCCTCTGATATCTTCAGAGTTTCTAGTGAGATAAGCTTGGTTGCACCAGTTGCAATGCATGCACGTTCATTTTGAATCTTTTCACGCTTTTTGAGTTCATATTGGATACAATTACACCAAATTACATCACCGTATTCAAAAATAGGTCTGATGAATGTTATGTAGATAATTTCCAAAGATGAACGATCCAGAGAGAATTTCAACTTTCGCATTACTTAAGTTATGTATTAAAAATGTTTGTAATCAGAAGAAAAAAAGATGCTGCTTAAATGTTTGTGTTCAGAAACCTCTGGAATTTGTTGTTAAACATATGCAATGAAGGATGATGCTGACGATTTCGCTTTCTGGTTACAAGTAGAGATTCCGATTATGAAGGATTGAAGGTGACTTACCAACTTCCTGCCCATAAAAATACTTTTTTGGATG